TTCTGGCCACCGCGAAACATGTGTACATGACATGTGTATACCTGAGCCTTTCGAACCGTTTAGTCAATCTTGGAAGCAGGCCCGCTCGGATTGTGCAGGCAGACTCGCTTGCTCTAAGTAGGTCACGCAATGAAACCTGAGAGGATCCAGATCCCCCAAACCATTTTACAATAATAGTCAAGAAAGCGAATGGCGTATGCACGTTTGTGTCTCATGGATATATTCAGGAGAAGCAACAGTATCAAAGGAATTCCGAAGCATTCTAGCATTCGGAAGCTCTTTGGACTCAAGGCCAAAGAAGATCGTGGTCTACTCGGGGATCCGGCCATGGAGTGCAGGGCCCAGCGGACTTGTCGAGTCAGGCTTTCAGCAAGGTAAGCTTGAAGACACACGCAAGAATGGTTTGACGCTACTCACTCGGCATGGCATGCTCATTTGCACAGCTGAAGTAAATGAAGTCATGTCCAAAGATCCTAGCCTTTTCTCATATCTTTCGAAAGCTTTCATGTCCAGGCCAAATTGCATGGCCATGTTAAGAAGTCCCAAACATGCAGCTTCGCCACCAAATAGAAAGACGTTGGACTCAAACACAATGACCCTTCAAGAAGATTTGATTTACTCGCATAAAATGCAAGTGCATACACTGAGCAAAGCTCGCAACCCCCGGTCAAAACCGCAGTGGTGTCTAAGGCCTGACGAAGGCCGACACTGCTCCCAGAACCTATTAAAATAAAGATTCACCCCTGTTCAGATTCAAGGTCGACCCAGCCAGCCACGCATTTCGCCAGCTGCCACCTGAAAGGAATGTATACTATTCTGGATTCGTGAGCTAGCTAGTTTGATACGAGATAGTCAGAGACTGGGTCACCACGCGCGTCAGCAACACCTCCGAATTTTTGCCACGCCACACTGACTCCTTGCTTCTTGTTGACCTGGACGCTTGTTGAAGAGCCTTTGCAAATTTGGGTTTGGATTCTTTAACAGAAATTTGAGGACCCAACTGTGAGGTTTGTTTCCCAATAGCGGTTAATGCCTTCAATCCGTTCCACGGGCACTGGAGAGATATAGAATGCACCCTTGTTGGAGCGGGCTTGCACAAGCCTCGCATGAAAGATTTCTGAAACATGCTCAACTTCCATGCATATGTCCAGAACAGACTTGGGCCCCTACAAAACTCCAATGTTCGAAAGGTTTCCATGCTTCGGAAAGTTGCAGCTGGAAGGCGGTGACACGGTGAATGACCTTGACAGTGTTGATCGAATGTTTGTGCACGAATATGTGAGGTGCATTATTTAGTGCACAGGCACGTGAGGCACATGCATGCTCTGCACTAGAATTAGCTAGCTGGTGATATGTCTCGTCTCTTAAACGGTGCGACTGTGTGAGAAATTTCCCAAGGCCAAAGCTTTTGGCCTTCAAAGTTGTCTGGCACAACGAGGCTCGGATCATGCTCGGCCACATGTCGAATGCGCTCAAGGTTGTTCTCCTAAATGGAGACTGAATGAACTGTGGTTTGAATGTGTGTTGCATAATACCGCATAAACAAAAGAAACCAATTTGTACTAACAGCAATGCACATGGGGATCCTTGGATGCCTCTTCAGCTTCAGCATTTGGTGGTTCTTCTGTTTTGATACGTTCAACGATTACTGGCGCTGCAGATTGAGATTTACGCTTTCGCCTTTTCTTGCCAGACTCGTTAGTGTACTGAGCCGGCTCTGCGGGGGCTGCAGGGGCCATTTCCTCTTGGAAATCCTGCTTTGACTGACCCGCTTTCAGATTTTTGCTCGAGTGTTTTCTCTTCAAAATGCTTCTTTTGCGGGACATCCGTTGTCGAGGGCTCGTGGCATCATCTGCAGGTGTTTCCGGTGCGACTTTGGGTTGAGCTTGCTGCTCTTCCCTGGGATTGCTCTCAGTGCTGCTTTTTCCACGTCCCTTACCCTTACCCTTACCCTTACCCCTTCCTTTGCCCCTTCCTCTTCCCCTGCCCCTCCCGCGTGCTTTCGCTTTGGATTCTTCATACTCCTCTCGCTCCGCTTGGCGGAGGTAGACCTTATCAGGATCTTCACCCTCTTCCACCTCCTCCTGAACGACCTTGCGAAGTGTTTTCTGCGCCTGCTCAGCCAAGGCAAAACAACATGCTACAATGCGAGTACTAGTACTGCAACACAAGTGTGGCAAAGAGGAGAAGAACAACCATATAGGGCTGGGCCTGCCTTCAACAAATCTTTTGTGCTGGTATTGTTGTCCCCCTTCTCAAGCTGCTGCTCTAGACTTACAACAGCACTTTCCATCACTGTGGTCAAGGCAGCAGGGATTGGTGGCAATTGTGTCAACGGAATTCTTTCCTGGCATCACTACCCGGGAGAAGGCAAACTCGATGTCAATTAAACTACACGATCATCGATCATGATTCATAAACAGGATGGCGTGACCTTTCCGGAACCTTTCTGTGGGTCCCTCTCGTCCTCTGAATCCATGATTTCCTCTACTGCTTTGGATTTGTCTTTAGATGATCCAGGCTGAGGGGAGTTAGAGCCCTCACCATCGGACTGGGTGGGCTGGAGCTGCTCGTCATCTTCACCATTCGGGCTGCTACTCTCAAGAACGTCATCTTGATGTAAATTGACATTCACTGCAATGTCGACGTCATCTTCTTCATCATCTACCGTTTCATCACATGTTGGGATTTCTTCTTCCGCTTCATCTTCCAAGTCCTTCTCACACCCAGCAGCTTCTGAGGGCTCAGCAGCATCAAACGGTGCCTGACTGTCGTCCATCAGCTGGGTGTCCATGACCTGGGTGTCCATCACCTGGGTCTCCACGTTGTCGATGCTCTTGGCAGCCTCGCGGTTGTCGATGCTCACGGACAGGAAACCCAAACCCTAATTGGGGCCTTGTTGAACTTCTCATCGAGAGACTTTCCACGCCCACGAGTTGGTTTTTTCTTGCCATTGGGCAAGAGCATGTCAGCTTCCTAGAAAGATTGTGCATCCCATGGCACACTTTGTTTGACGCCTTTGCGAATGAGTTTGCTCGTCAGTCCTGAAGAGCATTCCGGATCACCTCTTTGATCGCGTTCATTTCGTCATGGCTTTTCCTGCCAGCACCCATGCGTAGTATACCTCCCCCGTTTTCTTGTTAATAATTCCTAGACCCAAACAGTTATCAATCCTGCTTTGAGTACAATCATGACAGAAGACTTGAATATATTAAGGTGTTGTTTTTTTCAAATCAACGTTCCTGTCAAGAACCTACCTGGCAGTCCACAGTGATAAGATGACATTTGGCGCCTTGTTCCACGATTTCTCTGGAATCGACTCATGCAGTACCCTGCCAGGGCCCGATGCAAATCGCCTTCAATCTCGCACCAAGCCTTGGACAAAGAAGGCGTGCAGATGTGGGTCCCAAGATCGGGTGAGAATAGTGGGCTCCAGGTTTCTGGCTGCAAGTTGGTATGTTTCTTCGAACCGGTTGAGCTTGAACGTTTGATTGGCCCAATGAAGGGCTTCCTGCAAAGGATCGATCATGATTGATCTATCCAAAACAGTTTAAATGTTCAATCAACATATTTTCTGAAGAGATGTTAACTCCAGCCTGAACTTCAATTGATTTGGGTGGATTGGCGGCGAAGAGGGCGAGCCACTGGATGGCAAAGTCGGCATTTGCTTCAGCCTACGCATGCACTAGTCACCACAAGTGAAGTTTGTTCTAACAGGGGGTGTGCCTCTTTTTCTCCAATGATGTTCGAGTCCAGAATCAAGAACTTGAACTTGGGAACCTCTCACACGTACATGTGCAGATCTGAATCTGAAGGGAAGGACTAACTTGAATATAACTGCTACTGCTATAAGCTTCCCACCTTCTTGCGTTCGCTATCAGGGATTTTCAAGCGCTGGCGTAAAAGGGCACGTCTGTCCTTGATGTAGTCGGGCTGCTTCAACATGTCTCCATAAAGCTCCTATCCACTGCCAAAGTTGGTGGGCCAACCGGGATTTGCACATCTATTTTATAATATTTTATAGGTATCATGTCGGTGTTCTTTCTCTTGCAAGCTCCAAGAATCACCAGCCCCCAGTCCCTCCTTAAGAAGCTCGACCCTCACAGGATCCGCGCGAGCTGATGATGGCGACATTTGTACAGCTGCGCTTCTTTGACCAAACAAGCAAGTACAATGGGAAATAACGCCTAGCATGTGTGGTGACTTAAATTGCAGAAATCCTTTGGTGGACACTGATGCTCAGCCCTGAGCAAGAAAGACATCGGAATGAAGCTCTGGGGTGTGATTGAAACAAAAGCACAAACTGGTCAAAGAAGCAAAGAGCTAGCAGCATAGCTTAGCTTATCTTCCCTTGCAAGTGCCTCGTTGGGCTGGACAGCACTCTGTGTCAATGGCATTATCGTCGCTCTCCAAAAAATCCGTCGCACCTCATCGAAGGCAAACAGGTGGATATTGGTGGATGTTTTTTGGTGTTCTTCAGTGCCAGACTTTTGTTCAAAGATCTCTTCATCTGCAGCTGGCATCAAGGCCTCATACAATTAATTGTTCACAGTGTTGTTTCACTTATGCTGGCGCGCTCCTTTAAGCTACAGACACAGAAAGCACCACTGCGTTCGCTTCGGACCATTGCACCGGACGGGCGAAAGACCACAGTCCAAGAGAAAAACATTTAAACATTCTAGAAATTGTTGTTGCAAGTGTTCCTACTTGCAAATTGCATTTTCCTGGTAGCACACAACATGTTTTGCTTGAATATGGTAAAGCAAAGGCGATTCAATGTTGAGAATGCCTGGTGCAAGTGATCTTGACAAAAGCCGCATCAATCAGAGCAGACAGGAAGACAAGAAAAAGACGTTCGCTGCATTTAAAGGCGGTTTGTCAAAGGCTTTTAAAAGAAAGGCCGAGGAAGGCTAGGGTGTGGGTCCTTGGGTGATCCCAAAACTCCAACGGTGTCCACCGATCCGGGATCCACCAGTCCTCGTTCCTCACACTTTCGTGGCCTTCGAGGGTCTCCCAGAGCAGCAAAGCGCGCTGCCAGTGCTCTGAAGAGATGCAGGCAGTCAGGGCCGACAAGTAACCTGCGCGCACCAGTGCAAAAAAGCTGGTGAGATGGTAAACAGGAATGGAAACACACAAAACAAGTTTCTATAGAAGATGTCTTCCTTGAGCAAGGGTGGCCTCTCAGTTTCTATGCTATTCTATATGAGAAGGTAGAGTCAAACCTACCGAAAATCCCTGGGCATCACTGGGGCCCAACACCTATACTTTCCTGTGTAGTGTCATTTGACCTCCTTGTAGGACAAGAGAATGGTGGGACCAGGATAGAACCCAAAACAGCAACAAATCACCACGAAACTATATAACGGTCACCTCTAGGTGCTTCCAGCAGTTCATGGATCTTGCCAATTCTTGCCATCTGGAAGTACAAAGCATATATGTTTTTATCTTCTGGAAGTCAAATTCATGTTCCTTGCCATCTGTACATGATATCAAACACGCGTCATAATGATGTTTTCCACAGTGATTGGGTGCTTAGACCTACCCCGAACCGACTCCAAAACCGTTCCTGGACTCTGTCGAAAGCCCACGGTTCGACAGAACGTCGTTTCGCTCCGTGTCGTTCGTTACTCGACACCCAGCGACTGAAGTCGCTCCGCGGAAGGAGTTGCCTCGGACACGATAGCTTTCGTTGTGGGGTGGGGTTTTCTGGTGTGCTTTCGTTTGAGGTAGCCAAAACAGAATTCAAGTATTGTCAGGTTGTAATAGAGGGATGATGACAAGCTGACTGTGTTGATGACTCATGTACGTGCATGTGCCCCTTGCGGGTGCTGATGAAGGTGGTTACGCGGACAATGGAGCGGTGGGGCATTTCTTCTACCGATTCTACCCATGGAAGGGTTTGGATGAACTATCATTGTTTGCATGCACCAGCACTTACTGTATAATCACTTGTAGACGTTTCTCGCAATCATGGAAACAAAGCATGTACGTATAGTTTTCATACATAATCTGTCAGGATGAGATTATACAGCAAGTATAACATCTCAGCCTACATATAGTTTACAAAGCAAGTACGTATAGTTTGATAACTCGCATGTCAAATTTGCCAGGATGCTTGTCCATCTCCGTCAACAAAGACAGCACCTCGGAGCGGCGTTGGCAGCGAGCTGAAAGCGAGCTGAAAGAGCAGCTCTCAGTGGCTACATGAAGTCACCTTCGAGCTGGCTGTGCTTAGGCTGAGATTTTTGGGCTTGATAATTTCTGTCAGCCTATCAGATGGCCTATCTGCAGTATGAATTGAACAGTTTTTTTGTGTTTTTTGCTCGGCTCGCTCTCTTCCGAGTCAAACTGCAAATCGAACAAGCCCACACACAGAAACAAGTCTCATACAACATCTATTTCTAGAACCTCAAAGAACCTCAAAGAACGAATGGACCCATTTTGAACAAAAAAACAATCACCCCAAGGGGTCGTGATGTTTCTTGAACACCTGCCATATCTCCGACCGCCGGTGAACGCGACGCCTCGCAGACCGCCGCACTCACACGATGCAGGGCACCTGACGCCACTGATGTCTCAGCTGCGCGGCTTCACAGGCGACGTCCCAGCTGATGGCATCCAGGTTGGGCATCTGCTGGAAGAGGTGCAGGGCCTCACAGAGTCGACCGGATCTTCGAAACGTCGTTGTTCTCGCGATTGGCGACAATCGAAAACGGGGATCGAACAAAGAAGGTCTGGAAAGCTGAAGTGAAATGATTCAATGCCTGATCAAATGCAACCTTTTTTGATCAGATTCGCAGCCTGATGGCTGCAGGAAAGTGAGACATCCCGACATCAAATCGTCGCGGGAGAGTTCTGCGACAGTTCCTTCACAACGCTGGAGTTGGGAGACATACATATGTTTCTTCAATGCTTCTCCATCTCTTTTCTTTCCATGGGTAGTGGTGAAGAAAGGCCGCGGTGAAGGGCGATGTCTATAGCTTTGGGAGATCTGAGTGACCAAAAGGGTCCAAGTATACTTCTGTGTCACCCATGTTGGCTTGCCAATTCCTCTAGCGGGGAGAAGTTCATTACAGCGGACGTGCCATCTAAGATCTAAGCAACTCATTACACCCAACCCCCAAGAGGGAGTCCATGGGCTGAACTGGCCTCCAACCAAGACAGCATGATACTGATCAGTGGTCGATCTGTCCCTCAAGTCGATGTAGCCGCTCTTGGCTTCTCCTCCTTCCGCGCCTCCTCCCATAAGTGGCTCTTGCTGAGAGCTGTCAAGGCCGCATTGTAGCTCGTGGTGTCCGGGAAAAGCTTCCATTCTCGGGCCTCGAAGAAAGCAAAGCCACCGGTTTCAGTACACGTCAAGTGGATGTGAAACTAATTGTTCACGTGTAACATGGTGTTAACAAGCTGATTGTGATGTGTAACAAACGATATAATCGTATTGTTCAATCTGATTTGTTCTTCTTCCCATCTTTGTGTTTACCACCTGCAAGAAGCGGTGTGAGCCTTCACAACAGCATGTTGCAGTGGATTTGGGACTACCACCCATCCAACTGTGGCTGTGATCCAACGAGTTGACTACATGGACGGCCTGCACACTGCAACCTTCGTGGACTGTGGACTCGCAGTCTGAACCCGTTTGGAGTTGAGGTGTGAGGGGCTGAGTGAAGCCTGGTGAGTTCGAGCGGCGTGTCCATCAGTGACCATCTCCTTCGACTTCATCAACCCTTCCCCGGATCCATGATCAATTCACTCCTCAGTCCCCCAACACCTTCCTGGCCTCCTGCAACAAATGGAGCGCCTGAGCCCACCCTCGTCCCTTCTCACAGGCGCTGATGGAGGCACCCAACAAAATGCCGTCCGGCTGCAATCCTGGCGAACGCGAAGGTGGTCAAGCTCCGCCCAGCCACGTCAGAGGGGAAAAGCTTGGTGTTTGGGGTTTGGGGCGAGGCTGTTGTGATGTTCATCCTTTTGAGCAACTCCAAGGATGCTTTTAGGACCTCGTGTGGAATGAATGAGCTGTGCCATAGTCACATGAAACAATTGGGCACCCTTCTTGGGTTACACTGTGCTTGTACATGTTCAAGTGGTGCACCAGTTGCTGGTAGTGCCACCTACATACTCTAGCGCAACTTGCATCCTTTCTTTTCCTTGTCAGTCTTAACATTACAAACACTCCCTGTTCTCTCTCTCTCTCTAAGCACTCCTTGCCCTTGAGCATCACCAAGAAGATGCAAAGCACGCCTGAGGTTCAGGATAGCTTCACGAAATGGCCCTTGAGCTTCACTGAGTGCCCCCAACGACGACCCCGCCGAACGCGCCTGTTGTGGTGTTTCGCGGTCCAGCTGTGCGGTCCAGTCCGGCGTCGCGCGGGCGCCACTGTAAGCGACATGGTCAAGCGATGTGCAAGACATGGTGTTTGCATCTCCCATGGTGTTTGCCTTGGAAGACCTAACTGAAACTGGAATTGAAAGAGATGAGTGCGCGCCCAAAAGAACACGGATTTCATCAAATAATCTATCCCCATCAACCCTATGAGGCAAAAGTAATGCAAGAATAGCATTCCAAAACCAGCCCTGCCATGAAGCAACTTCAATGCACCCGTTGCAAGTTTCCTGTGTCGGGTCACGGCCACTGCTGCCCACGTTCGCAGGCAGAGATGCAGCTACTGTAGGTCACCAGGTTCGGGGAGAACCTGATGTGCTCAAAGAGTTGTAGTTCCAATCCAATCTCTTTGACTGGTCGGTTATCAGTGGTGACACATGTGTTTCACATGAAAGGAAGCATGTGTCAGGACAACATGACTTTGCCGTGTCAGGATTGTCAGGTGTTGAATCGTGTCCCTCAGTATCAAGTTCTCAGTGGTTATCTTTAAAGAATCTCTTGAGGTCTCGGGCCCCTGTAGACCAGAGGCACCTGCAAGGGTCTGAGCAGGGAATTGGTCATACAGGATCTGCATGGCAGGTGCGTGAAGTCAGCAAGTTGAAGCGTTCTGACAGTCTCCCACCCTTGGCGGCAACGATCTATTCTTCGCTGCAGTTCAAGTTGAAGTACCATCCCCGACCCGACCCAGTGGTCATGGGTGGGTTGTGCCATAAACCAGCAGCAGAGGTGAGTGGTGTTCTACATACTCCCTGTTTGGACGCAAGCAAGGGACGGCACATAAACTGAGAGCAAACCCAAGATGGGCTTATCAAATCCCACTGCATCCATTCGAATGTGGATGTGGCTGTTAAGGCACCTTTTCGGCTCCAGCTGCGCCAAAAGAGCCAATGCCAAAGTCCATGCAAAAGCCTTGCCACAGCTGCTGATCACCTCAGCTTGCCACGCTGAAAGATCTCATGTGCCATTGATCTCATCTGATCCCGTGAGTCAAGCAGGTGGAGTGTGGCGAACCCACTGGAATCTGTCGTGGTCGCTACGGTACACCAAGTGGTCGCTGTCCGGGTCGCTCCCTCTCTCTCTCTCTCTATAGACGTCCAACGATGGGCTGTGTTCCAACCAAAGGGCTGTGTTCAAGGCCACCAGATCCAATTCCATCCCTTGTCTTTCTGCATCAGCGCAAAGCTGCAAAGCCTGGCCACTGGATGGAACCAGGCTTGGCAGCCATGCCAAACCCACCCAAACCAAGCGTGGCGAATCATGCAGTCACAAATCTGTCTCAGCACAAGCAGTTGGTTGAAAGTTGAACTCGGGGTTAGTTACTTCTTACTTGTGGTTAGTTGAAGGTTTTAAAGCCTTTTGAAGGTTGAACTCGGGGTTAGTTGTTTCTTTTGCTTGTTTGGGTGTTCATGTGTCGTCCAGTTCTTTCTGCGTGCAGGTGTTTGACGAACCCAACTAGGTCAGGAGCGCTTGACTGTTCTTGGCGAGTACAGTTCGAAAAGACCATCGGCCAAAACTTGTCCAGTCTTGGTTGAAACTTTGAGGCTCAACATAAGCGACCAAAAGAAAGGGCTTTCCGCGGCGAAAACATGACCCAATTTTGCTGGGCAAGTGTGTTCATATGAGCCATCCTTGGATGTCTTGAGACATTAGGTTGGAGGGCCATCTCTACTAGGGTGGAGGCCATCGCTACTAGGAACAAGAAGCTACTAGTAACAAAAGGATAGTCCCCACTTCTACACCAAACATCTCAGTGCGCCTCCAACCAGCGGGAGGCCTTCTCGCAGGCGCTCAGCAAGCTGCTGATGGCGATCAAATCCAGTTCAATCGAGCCTGACGTGTTGTGCTTGCGCGCGGTGGCAGATCACTGATGCAACCGTACAGGCGCTTTCCCTTCCCCATCACGCGCCATGATGGGGCCCCACATGCGGGAGAGCTACAGGGGGTTGACACGCGGCAGTTTGGATTCAGTGAAGTCCATCCTTAAGGGTCCTGAAGGATACCCAGACACTCCATGAGACTGCCATATATGTCTACATTGACCCCCCAAACCAGCCCTGGCCTGATCGGCAGTCCTATGGCAGTCCCATGGGTCGTGTCTGGGAAACATATAGAAAGGCCCAGATAAAACTCTAACATCAACATACAAAACTCAGTTTTCTAAACTCCTGAAGTAGGGGTGAGGTTCTTTCATACCCTATACAGTACATGTCATACATACGCCTCAACCATGGGTTTCTCCAGTGTTCCCCACCTGCACTCGGCTCAAACATGAGCAGCATCGCCGTCTCCCAGGTCGTTGCAGCAGCACACGCACCTCGAGCGCACGGTAGCGGACATGTCCGTCTGAGCCAGTCCAAGAGCCCCTTCTGGCTAAAAGTGTGTTTGTTGATGCTTTTGTGTGTGAATTCTTGGCAGTTCAATATGTCTCAAGTCAGAACAAGTGAGGTTGTGCAAAAACCCCTCTGCGTTTCCCAATACCACTTTTGACGTCATCGTTTTACAGGGGATTGAGGATGCTTCTAGAAAAACGGACATGCAAATACTAATTTCATATATATATATATATACATGGGGGTTTGCAAGTGTTGCCACTGATATGTTTCAACGATGGTGGCCCGTGGTTTCCTTTCTTCAACGCTATCTTCTGTGCCTCCAGGTAGAAACAACATGCAGCCTTCAGGAAACCCGGTGCTGGCCAGCTGTCTTCTCTGGATGTTGTAAGGTAGATGGAAGCCTGACACATGTGTTGAGTCCAATCCAAAACGGTTCCCTAAAGTTGCTCCGAAACGCTGATGGCCGCACTGAAGGAATACTTGCAAGGCCCCAAGTGTCTCCTGGCAATCGAGGAGAGGTCTTCGCTGATTTTTTTTGGCGGCCACCCTTGGATGGGCACAAGCGCTCAGCAAGTATTTCAATCGCGTTCAAAAATCTGTCACCCTACCTATTTACTCGGTACCAATACGGCTCTGCAGAGTGTCTTGCCTGGCCCCTTCGAGTGCTCTTACTACACTACACTACGTACATTATGAAAAAAGACGTACTTGCTGACCAGGCCCTTGAAGGGCTAACGTACTAGTATACTGCCAAGTGCTCCGCGGCTACCCATCGTGAGAGGTCCAAATACATCCCAAGTTGACGTTGGGTATACACTCTGACTCACATGGAAGTGGACATGCCATCCACTTCCGTGCTCAGCTTCAAGATAACCACGTTGCATATCTTGCAATCCCAATGGAACCACGTGGTGGTTGAATGACGTGGAGACCACCCAACATGCGCGACAGGCGACAGCCATGCCGTGCGCACGTCATGCCGTCCTTCGCCGATCAGAATGATCAGGGTGGACAAAAATGAAGAACATGTCCCAACAAACCCAAACACTCCATGCCATATATGCAGATCAGTTGGGGTGGTTTGGGAGGTCAATGTAGGCATATATTGCCTCATTAATTCCGTTGCTGTTGAAACAACAGCACCATGAAGCAAACACATATTCTAAAGTGTTCAAGGATTTTGAGGGCCCCACCTACTTTTACACAGGCAATGATCTACTTCGCCTGGGCGACAGAGGCACCACCTCGGTCTATCGTGCCTCGACATCTCAGCCAAAAGCAAGTTCCCTTCTTGCCAGCGGCGGTGACGACCAAAGGCGTGTATCGCTTGTGCAAAATGCTTCTTCGTCTCCAAGAAGGCCTCCGCTTGCAGCCCGATCTGTCTCAGTTAGCAGCCCTGTCTCAGTTGAGCATCCAAGACTGTTTCTTATCACCAGGGCATCTCTTCTTTTCTTCTGCCTTCAGGACCCAACTCAAAACCGATGAGGGCCCACAGTCGTGTGTCGGGGGCGACCTCGAGCAGACCTGCCTGGCTGGCCCAGAGTTGCTGTAAGGCCTCTTGGCGCTTGGGCGGACTAACTCCCAGCGCCTTTCTGGACAGCAGCGCCAGGGCGGACAGCGCCGGATTCCAAGCGCCAGAGTCGGAAAGCGCCTGGGGCGCCAGAGATGTGTGAACCAAATCACCTCGCAATGGATTGAGGAAAAGGCTTCGACCAGGCGAGCAGACCCATGAAATTGTCCAGTCCTCATATCGGTGTGTTCTTCAGCCCAGATCTGGATAGGATGAACATACACGTTCTGTGGGTTTCTGTGGGTTTCGACCGCGGATGATTTGAGAGAACCGGTCTTTTGCAGGTGGAGCCGAACATCGCCGACTTCCCCTTCAGCCCTTCAGCCGAGTTGGCGCGAAGTCCATCCACACAACGAACTTGAAAAAGACTCTGACCATCCCAGGCTGCATGTAGATGATGTAGTATAATATATATTTTTTCTTATTTTACATGCATGGAATATACCTATGATCGATACAAGTAACCTAATGAAATGCCAATCCATTTTTTTTGCAAAACCGAGGCGGGGTGATCTAACACCTGGTGCTTGTACCACTGAATCACCTTGCTGGCCACCTCCTCGCCTTCTTGTCCGGCCGTGGGAACCGGTGCCGCAGGGCCACCGCGTTCCGCATGGCGCGTTCGGGCCGTCGGTCCCCATGGCGAGTCCAAGGGAGTTGGACTGGATTTGGGAGATATACAAACAGGTCGTCTATATACGAATGTCTACGAGAGGTTGCCAAGTTGGGGGTGGTTGGTGCGAGGAGAATGGTTCCTTAACACTCCTAAGATGAAACACCAGGTAGAGTTCTCGAATTATATGTGGGACAGGCTTTCGGGGTCAATATGGAAGCTGCAAGCTGAACTGATGTTGTTCACCAACTCAATAAGATTCACAAAACACGTTCTTTGCAGTTGTTTGCAAAGGTATGGTTTGAACCTCTGTAGCGGCTGCAATGGAACAAGTCATTGGCACTGACTGCCTGGTGTTTTGTCTCGTGGACTTATTCCCATTCAAGACACTGAGATACTGGGTGACAAACGACTACCAATTGCTGAATGTGAACCTCTGTGCGGAAGGATTTACCATGTAAGCTTGGAAACAGAATTACTCGAGACTCTAGACATCTGCGGATTCCATGTTTGGTGGATTTGTTTGCTAGTCGGCTAGTCTTCATTGCCAGGTTCAAGACTGCGAAGCTGCATACTTCTTGCCACCGCTCCGCTGCGCTTCCAACACCGAGCGGTTGCATGTGTTTGGACACGAAACATGGTGAGATCTGACCGCCGGAGATGGGCTGACCTCACTGGTGACCTCTCTTTGAGAATCCGAGTGAGCTGGGTGATTGGCACTGCAGTTTGAGTTACTCCCGCTCGCTCACAATGACTCGCTCGCATGACACATGTCGGGAAAAACACATCGATATGGGAGGGGCAAGTGTTTACCGCCCATGTGCGCTATGTTGTGGAGAAAAATCATTCTACGTACCATATATACACATCTCATTTACCCTGTCACCGTCTGGGCAACAGGAAGTCACGTGACAGTGTATATAAAATATGTCCATTAGGTCCATGTTGCCTGGAAAAGATATCCAGCAGCACTTCCCAACAATCAAAACCTTGGAGTCCTTGGCGCCTCCTTCCACACGACCTCCGCGCATCCATGTGTTATGTCTTTTTCTCGTGCGAAAGCGTGAAACTCAAGCAAGGCAGGATGATTCGGTGGTCCTGTCTTGTCAACACCTGGACCTGTTTGTTTTGTGTGTTCGACGAATGAGTTCCATACAACACTAAGTGAGATGCTCAGCCTCAACCCACATCACTGTGGAAGATATATCACGTCTTGACGGATGGCATGAAAACACGCCTCGGATCCTTCCTTCGGTGTCTCCCAGTCCCCCACGGGCCATTAAACAACAACAACAAAAAAAAAAAAAAAAAACCAAAACAAAAAAAACAAAAACAAAAAAAACAAAAACAAAAACAACAACACCACCACCAGCAGCAGCAGCAGCAGCAACAGCAACAGCCGCAGCCACAACGAGCACGAGCACAAGCACAAGCACAACCAACAACATCCATCAACCAGCAACCAACAAACAAGACATCCAAAACCAATCCTCTCAAGTGACATGTCACACCAATCATGGTTGACGTAAAACAAATTCACGCAGTCCAAGCAACTGCTGAATATTCAAAGTATATAAAATAAAACCTATTGCGACATTGTTGTCTTGGTCCTGAATCTGTGTTTCTGCTTCAAATCAAAGATTCTGACCGGACCAAGCGATTCCTGCTTTGGGCGATGGACACTCTCCACGCCGACCTGGCTTTCACACTGCATCGGCATCTTCCGCAGCGCCCTGTCTCCGCATCTCCGCGGCGGCGAAATCCACTCACCGAGTCCACAGAGTAGATGCGTCCACTAAACATGTATTCCCCCCTGCAAACTAACATAGAACCTGAGAATTGACCTGAGAATTAACCTGAGAATTCATGCGGTTTTCCCATCATAGAACCTGAGAATTGACCTGTGGTTTCGACCTTCTTTGCGGAGACCAACGTGGTTTTGTGGTTTTGGGAGTCCAATGGGTTCCATGTGGTCCGAATAGCAGGGGAGTATAGACATGTATTGGAAAGCATTTCTATCTATTTGGGGACCCCTATGTAGGACATCCAAAACCTACTCAAATGGACGAGACAAATGGCCAGGAAGCTGGAAGCCAATTTGGATGAACCTTTGGTTATGAGGGAGGATGAACATTGATTCCCTACAAACGCATTCCCAAACAACTTTGTGCTCAGATGCTAATAAGCTATCCATGCAATCCATGGGAATATAATTACAAAGTTCATAGTCCATGATGGATCTTCAAGATCTTTCACGTTCATCCTACATGAAGTAACACATCTCAACCAACCATGGAACGGTTGATGCACGTAGAACGTATTTCCACATGGAGAACATGCTTAAGCACGCCTTGCACTTTTTTTTCACGTCTTAACTGAGTTGAGGGGGTGAGCCAAACGGCAGAGCCTCGGTGACGGTGGCACCCTCGCCTCACCGAGACCCGCGCGTCGCATAGACCATGGCGCCGCTGGCCACGAGCAACCTGGAGGCGAGGAGGCCACGAGCAACGGGTTTTGTGTCCGGGTTTCGAGCCCTATGTTCAGAGTATCATCCGAGTCTATGTAATATGATCTCTGCAGGTATATACCTAGAATGTTATCTAAAACACCCTTCTTCAGTTCATATTGGTGATCCTTTCTGCTCATTTCTCTGGAGTTTCGTCCTCCACTTTCTTCACCCCTTGCCGATCTGCTCGAGACCCCCGGCAGCAGGCCCTCCGAGGAGAAGGCGCTCCCCAGGCCAAAGCGTTCCGCCATCAGCGCAGCGGAGAAGGAACTGAAGAGCATGCCTCTGCGCTGAGGGGTTCGAAGAGGGTTCTGAGGGGTTCTATAGATGTTTTTTGGGTTCCTTCTCCAGGGTTCAAAGGCTTCTTCAGTTCTTCAGTTCGTTCCTTTGGTTCGCAGGGTTCTCAGGTTCTTTTCGTTCGGTTCGGTTCGGTCACGCTGTTGGAGAGTTCCTTTTCTTGGCCGAAGTACCCACAAGGCCATGGAAGAAAAACACCTGGCGGCCATGCGGAGTTGTCCCTTTTGCCGGACAGTGTCAAACTGATATGATTGTGTAGTACCCCTATAATTATCTGGTCAAGGGCTGATATGATTTGTGTATTAGCAGGTCGAACATTTCTGCTGTGCCACCTCTTGCATCAAGGCTCTGGGAGTCAACAAATCCATGGTGTTTGTTTCTTTTCGATACTTGGGGTAAGCAAGAACCTCACATGTCTTGTTTTTTTTTATATTTTTTCGGGCCAATCGCTCCCCGCATCAGATATGTTTCATCCAAGAGACGAATCGTTTTCCAACGAATAAAGTCAGAACTACACTCCCTAGAACTAACATGGAAGTGGAGAATGGCCCAATAAGGAAGACCATTTTCCATTACAAACAGGTGGTGAACTCCACGTAACCATGTTAGTTCCAGGGGGAGTACCCTCTTCTTCATGGAAACGGAAGCCAGTCACCCGCAGCAAGCGGCACGAGCCCGTTCCCGCTCGGAAACACGCGCCCAGCGCCCAGTCCGTGCGGGCGACGCGCCTGTATCGCCGAAGGTATTCCAAAGGCTTGGAACCTTTGCACGATCCTTCACCTCAAACAGCGAAAAGAAAACGCTCGATCTTGGGATGAAAGACTATACCTAGAACCAGGAAAGGCCCCCTGTCTGGAGACCTGTAGGGTAGTCTTTTGGACACCCAGGATGATCCTGGTATATGATCATCATATTATCCAACACGATCCACATCCATCTGGCGTTTGAGGCATGGGTCCGCTCGTCTCGTGCCTATCCGCGAATACAGCGTCTCAGGTCTCGATCTGCCAAGTCACTGGAGCTAGATCCATGGCATGCATCTGCGCCTGGCCACACATGCAGGCGCCGATCTGCATGGCGGCCAGCACTGGTAGCCTGAAGGTCTAGGGGAGTCGAGAAGCAGCCCAAGCTGGGTGGGCCGAAAGCAAGCCTGGATGGAGATCATTCAATCCTTTTGAGCCAAACCTTCTTTCTGGTCTGACCGAAGAAGGGCAGCGAGCCCTCAACCATCCCCGCGCAAAGCCCTTGAAGCCCAACATCCACTGACTCGAGATCAGGAGCCAGAAAGAAGAAACAACTTGTTGTGACCCATACAAAACACACCATCCAGGCCTAGGCTCAACATGTCCAACAAAAAGCACACACACCTGAACAACATGTCAAACGCAGCAAACATGGTGCCTGGAAACTCGACAAATCCAGTTAACTGGTGACAAATCCAAACCAAATCTGACTCCTCTGCTGTCGTTTCCCCCCGCGCGGTCCGCGGACCATTCCTGCGGACCCAAGTCTGCGGTCTGCGGACCGGTCGACGACCAACGCTCGGACCGGTCACCTCCCCTCGCGGCATTTTTTTGCAGCCCAGAGGCAACTCGATGAGCGTGGTGACCTGTGGTACCATCATCAGACTTACTCCATACCTCAGGTTCGGGTTCCAACGAAAGCGCCTTAACTCAGAAGGCGCGTTCGGGTTTTGGGCGGTCGTTCTTGTTACAGCTGTAAGGGGGGTGCGTTGGAAACTACAGTAAATACCGGTGTGCCTAGAGTTTTGTGTGTACCTTCGGAAAAGGATAAGTAGACAAAGCCGCACGAAACCCATGTTTTGATTGGTTTCTCCCAGTTTAAACCTGTACGAGTAAGTACACAAACATCCACATGTGTTGTTGTAATTGAATTCGACGACGACAAACATCACCACCAACAACCACAACCAAGAACCAAACACCAAGCACCACAAACTTTGAATCAAGATCCCATAACCACAACCAGCACCTACCTGGACTTTCATGCTTCACAAAAAGGCAAGTCACAAGGACCTGCAGATGAACATGGAACCCCAAAACCACAACCAGTTGCAATTCCGGACCATGGTCTTCCGAAAAGGGACCATGTTCAAGCCATGTCAGTTTGCGGAGGGGGGGTCACCCGGAAGAAAAAAGCACCGTTTCCGCTATATCCGATGTGAGGGTCACGGCAGCCTCACAGAACTTCGGAGTCCCGTTGGTTCCGAGCCAAGCGGCAGAAGGGCGCCCGGCAAGACCACCTCCAACGCGTTGGCTGGACCAAGACGGACCCGGACCAAACGGTGGACTGGACAAAGAGGTCAAATGGTTTGATGGGACAAAAGATCTCACTTGAGATGTGAGCGTTTCTATTTTTGGTGAGTCCTATTGTTCTACCTAGGTAGGTCAAGTGACTGTTGCTCAAGAAGTCTGAATGGATTCAAAGTGACGCGACCTCGAGCATCTCGAAGAGACTCGATGTCGTTCGGGAAGACGGGACTCCAGAGTTCGGAGTATAACAGAACTCAAGAAGCCAATGAACCAGGAGTCACATGTCGGGGTGGTGTTTAGCCCCATCCAGTGAGTGGATGTTCTGGGCACCCCTAACCTCCATGGATCGCATCCCAGCCTGTGACTGCTAGAATGCATTCTTCCCTATAAAGGATCATTGGACCCTCAACGAATCCGTGTTTAACCCTGAAGGCAAGTCACCTGGCATTGCTTCCCCCGTTGGCATTCAATTCTGTAATCTCAACGAATTGGGATGGAGCCAGCATCACGTGGTCCGTGTCTATAGGACCTCTGAACTTCGATGTGTTATTCAGGTGCTGCCCTGGATACCTGCAAAGCATTCGAAAGCCATCACAAGTTATGGCACATCGTGACGGACCGAACACACCATGTCTTTCCAATCTCTTTTGTGAGAGCTGGCACGAACGTGCGACTGCGAGACCGCGATAGACCAAGCCACACCGAGTTGGGTTTTCTTGACGCTCCTGTCCCATATCAGAAGGTGGTTAGAACGGTTAGACCCCCCCTGGCACCCACCTCAAGCACTTTCTCAGATCTTCTCAGGAGCTAGGCCAGGACTGCTTAAACAGCTTAGCAAACCGATTGCCCATGCCCTCCCCCTCCCACTCCACGGGGCCGACCACACCTGCATCTTCCCGAAGCGGTCCGCCGTCTTAGCCACTAAGGGCGTGACGCTCAAACTGACCTCGGGAGCTGCGGTCCGCTGAGGAGCTGCTCCCCGGCAGGGACTGATGGGCTGATGGGACACCGTAGGGGGGACGGGTGCGTGCGAACACCTGGACCCAACGAAGATCGGATCGGGGTACCTGTCAATGGGACATGGCAAGATAGGTCCATGCCCTCTTCCCAACTCTGACTATAGCTCTTTCATGTCTCCAAATCTGCAGTGGCTACGAAAAGATAGACCAAATGAGAAGCCTCAAGGTCACAGAAACAAAAAATAATCAAACAGCCGTAAAAAGCCGTGAAACAAAACAAACAAAAAGAGAAGATATACCATTAAAAGCCGTGTAGAGCAAAGCAAAACAAGCATGGTTTTTACAGAGTCACTCCAGCGTCACCCGCTCCCGTCACCGGAGTTTCCGCGCAGAGTCTTCGCTCCGAAAGCTCCGAGCGGCTAAGGCATTCGCCGTCGAGAGGCCGCCCACCACGGCGGGCGACAGCGCTAAGTCCACGTAGATCAGTGGAATCAACGCAGCAGCCTTGGTGGAGAGTCTCAGACTGGTCGGTGGAGATGGTAGTCCACGTGCTGAAGCTTTTGGCGGCCCAGGCGGCCCAGGCCCAGTGCTTCTTGGGGCGCCCGACTTGCTTGGCACTAGTTAGAAGTGGAGTTGCTAGAAGTCCTGAAACCTTCCAACAAACACACATACACACAAACACATGTATAAACACACTGTAGACTTCCATCCGGGATGGTTTCCCGAAGGCCTCCCAAAGATGGATACTTCTAACTGGAAGGGGTCTTCGCTGTTGGCAACTGACTTCAGCACCACCGTGATCTCACCGGCAATAGGGCCAACCCTATAGATTTCTAGGACCACCCAACAAAGAAACGGTGTTTCACCCAGTTGTGTTGTGTGGTTCACATGCAAAGCCAATCCAGCAAACGTAGGTGACGTCGACGCTGTAAATCGCTGGACATCGTACGGGTATGGCTTGGCGGTGAAGATCGACGTTGCTATTGGAGGATAAGACATCAAAATTGATGTGACATGAGAGTCTTTCTTGAGAGGAAGTAGTGAATCATAGAATCATCACACACTTGTAATATCTTATACCCAAACACGACTAATGGGACTGCCATAGGACTGCCGCCCCAGTTAACCCCCAAAAAACACCCCTGGCCGTTTCTCGGCAGTCCTTATATGGCAGTCCCAGACGTGTCGTGTCTGGGATATACTCATTCATGTATACATCGAACAGCGGATCATGTCCCTTCCTGCGAGCTCGGAGCTACATAAGGCCGACAGAGCACAGGACATCCAGGGACACAATATCGATCCGATGCGTCCACCTCCAAAGCAATGATGGATCTGCCGTTTTTGGGGCCTCACCTCCAAAGGTGTTGAACACATGATGCACCATCCTCCAACCTCCAACCTCTGAACCCAGCTGCGGATCCCCGAACGAAGAACCACTTTTGGGGTGTTGACGTCGTTTTGTCCCGGTGGTTTTTGTGGTTTCTGTGGGCGTTTGTGCAGGTTTTCTCTCCGAGTCGCTCCCCAGAAAGCCGCGTTGTAACACCAGCCGAAGGAGATCATCTGTCGAAAGGGCTTCAGGGACAAGATGGGCGCCCAGGACTTGAGCGTGTCCAACACACCTGTGGCGTGGCCGTCACCAGCGTTGGTCGGGAACATCCATGGTCACTTAGATGAACTTAGACTCAAACATTTTGTAGCTTGGTCTCTTAAAGTAGGTCTACCTTTTGTACCATATGAATATAAGTACGTCCTTACCAAGTTAGTAGCAAAACTGCGTTCAACAAAAGGCACTTGCAAATCTTCTCCAAATCTTCGACAGCTCTTCCTTCTAATTGCTTTCTGCCGCCTGGTGCTATCTCATTCAGAAAATGCCAATATAGTACTTTTTCAAAAATAAATCTGCCAAATTTACTCCTATTTATATATGTTGTTAAATAGATTCAGAACAATAAATCTAACATGTTCTGTTCCAACCTTCAGAACTTCCACTGGTGCGCCCGCCCTGAAAACACACGTCTGGTCACCTCGCTGCCGTTCTCCAGGTCTCAGTCGGTGGGTCTCCGGAAGCAGCGCAAAGACGCAAAGCGCGGTGCAAAAGCTGCTGGCGCCCACGCCCAAGGACATGAGCTCCTGAGCTGCAGCCGGCGCTTTTTTTTCTTTTTGCGCGACAAAAAGAGGAGCGAAGGGTGAGATCCAAATGAGGATCCAAGTGAGAATGCGCCCTGAACTGGGAGACCAGGGCACATTGCATGGACTTGATGTTAGAAGTATTGTTTGACACATGCCAAAAACACATGTCAAAGGATGTGTCTTTCCTTTTGGAGGCATGCATTTTGTGAGACAAGCTTTTGGCAGTTGGCATAGCTGTAGGTCATTTGTCTTTGGGCGATGCGCCAATTAATGACAGATGGGGTTAGGACACCATCTGTGGGAGCAAAATCAGGATTTCACACTTCCACACCATTCGGGCCCTATGACATGTGGTGTCCGATGAAGCTGGGTTTCACCAAGGCCAACCACGATCACGCTTCTTACATGTTACTGTTCCACCTTTGACCTCAGTTTCGGTTAACCCAAGCTAACCTCAAAAATTGCAGAAGTCGAGGCTCCACTGGCTGGCTCAATAACCATGTTAGTGTTTTCGCTCAGGTCTGATAATATAAGTCTGTTATGCATCTGTTTGATTCTTTTTGCTTGCATATCGCAGCAAGCCAAGACTCCAATCCCACGTTCTCCAGCAGGTAGCCTGTCACAAAAAGGCTCATGCCCCCCCACCCACAGCTGCTGATCCACAATTGCTTTGGAATAATAATAACATGTGGCCTCCCAAAAACAACTCCTAATCACCCCGGGAAGCATCCCAAAACCACACACTTCACGTCCTTTTCCCAGTGAAGCCCAGCTGAATCACACCAGGCCCCCCCTAAAAAAAGAAGAAAAAAAATGGCCTCCGCAAGCGGGGCCGATCAAGAGCCCGGCGGACATGCCCATCTGCATGGGCGCTCGGGTCCGCGCCGAGTTCAAGGGGTGCGAGATGTCCGTGACGTACATCCCTGGCCGCGAACGCAGTCAGGTGGCACACATCGCGAGTCGCGCAGCGGAGCGTTCGCTACGTCCGAAGGATTGGGGGGAGGGGGTGTCCGGCCGAATCCGGCCTACAGCGGGCCGACCCTGCAAGATTGGCCCAGCGGCCCCACCTTTCATTCGAGAATTCTCGATCTAACATGAACTAAGCTATACAAGCCTTAGACTTGGTGACCGATGAGACTGAAACGGGTCTGCAAAAGCTACACGATCGAGGTTCAAATACCATCAACTTGGCGCCCAGATTGCCCCGTTTCTTCTTCGCCCGGAAGACCTCGTTTCACCGAGCACAACACGGGAACTTCGTCCTCAAATGGCTCTACAAGGACAATTTGGTTCTTTCCACACGGTTTGTATATATCTTTTGGGGGGGACCTTTGGCAGGTGGGTTTCCATGGCTCTTCAGTCCAAAGACAGGTGTTGTTCTCTCCCTAGGATCCAAGTACATCCTCAAAAGGTACTTGGACCCTCCAAACCCACCCCAAGCACCTTCTCAGAGGGTACTTGGATCCTTAGGGTCTAAGTATTGTCTCTCAAATCCTTTGAACCTCTCCTCCTGTTCGATCTCGAGCCCAAAACTTCGACACGAGCATCACCTGCGGAGGTAAAGGTGGAGGCCACTCCCAGGCCGATCGCCAAACGCAGCACCATGAGCTGCTCGTAGCACGTGGCGAAGGCCACGCCGGCGATGCCTGGAATGACGGGCTGGTAGGGCGGAGTGGCCGCATTGAATGGTTATATGTGAAGGAAATGGCCTTTGTGAAAATGCTTCTGAGGTGTTTTTGGGAGACTCATCAACTTCCCTATCCAACAAAACAGCCAAAACACGGGGCCGATTTAATCTCGGCTTCCAAGAATAGGTTTCCATTGAGGCCGATTGTGTGTCTTCACCTTCAACGTCACACCTGTGGCGATGGACATCAGGCCCATGACCAGTAGCGGCTTCCTCCCGTAGGCGTCCGAGAGCATGGACGAGGGGATATTTCCACAGAGCCTCCGGCGATTCGGATGGATCGAATGGTTGAAAGACAAAAAGACTGCATCGAAATCAAACATGTCTTCATCTGTTCGGACCAAAGACAGTGGGTGGTACCCTATCTTTGAGCCGTAAGATTGGAGGGCTGCGGCACTTGGGGGTTGGAAACAAACGGTTCTTGTTTGCTTTTGAAGCCACAAAGGACACCAGCCCAGCCAACCGAAGCAGCAAACAGTTCAGTCCTTTCAGTGCTGCTATAGATGCTATAGACTGATATGCTTTAGAACACAGTGATTTCATCGATTGATCTCCTGTGCGAAAGGAGCGTGGCAGCCACCAAAACAGGACAAGTTGTCCAGGCACTACACAGTTCAAGAATTCAATGGTTTGAAACCACATTCTTTTTGAGGGAGAAGCTTTCGGCCTACGGCATGTTCTCTAATTAGAAAACAAAGATCACCAAATTTGGAACATCAACATGTAGAAAAACACACGGCATAAAAGAACACCTATTTGTGTCCACAAGCTCTTGCGCACTGCATGAACCCCGCATCTTCTCTGGGTGTTTATCCGAAGTCTTTCTCGGTCACACCCAACCACTTCACGTGCTGCAATCTGAGTAGCTTGGCCACAGCAAAGGCCGTGGTCAATGTGCCAAATTGCAGTTGCGTCATGCCGAAGGTTTGAATCAATGTGGGACCCATCCTGGGAGATCGCAGGGGGATAGAGGACGCTACTAGGAGCAAAGGGCATCGCTACTAGGAACAAGAAGCTACTAGGGGCTCCTGGCCTTGCTACGAACGGAGCAAGGAAGCTACATGCATGGAACCCATTCCGAATGACCCTAAGGTATCACTCCAGCGGCGCGATCGGGAACCCGTGAGCGACCGGAAACGGCTCAAACGGACCGTGAGCTAAACACTTGGGCAGCTCATGATGTCCAAAACAGCGATATATATATATATATATAGACCCCCTAATAGATAGAAGTTCGTAGATCTCCACTAAAAATGTCACTATGTATTCGGGGATCACTATCAATTTATGTGGAGAACCTCAAATGTCATGCTGGGTTGCTTCCTTTCTTTTTCAGGCTCTTTGGGAGAATATGCGGTGGTATGAACATCTGCAGTAGCCATAACGAAGCTGATGATATGCATCGCAGCAAAGTTAGAACCAAGATTTGTTTCCGCAGTACAAAATGACAGGATAATGGATCAATCCAAAAGGAACAATAACACAATTATATACTGTAAATACCTAAGATTATTCCAATATATTTAGAATCAAAATTGTTTAATTTCAGCTTGTTGATGATCTTCGCAGGATTGCCTCTGCACCCCTGGCTTATTGACTGATATCAAATCAATGCCACGTTTCATGACGTACGACCTGGCGTAACGGCCTCAAGTTCCTCGTTTTGACCCAAACCCTTCTTCACAGTCTTCACACATCCTGGCAGCGCCTTCAGCTTGGCCCGGTCCGTCCAAGCGTCGGGAAAGTGACCGAAAAGCCGCCAAAGGCCATTCCTTTCAAAAAGGTCAGTGACGCTTGAAGCATTGGAATGCATTGAACATCTCTTTCTGGAACCAATCAAATGTTACTTCTGCCTCTACAATGTACAAATTTGGCAATGTCTGATTTAATCTCTACTCTCAAGTTTCAACCACCATCCTGGTCTATCTCTGCCTCTACTCCTCTAATTGGGGCAAGGGGATCATGAACGAGAAACATGTTGACATACACTCTTCAGGAGTGTTTCCTTCACGGGACACTCACAAATTAGTCTGAGACACCTATCTGGAAACATGTATATAAAGATATAGATACAATGCATGTGGAAACCTCTGGAAACTGAAGCCCTGCCTATGGCGGCAGCAAGGTAGTACCTCAGTTGGAAGCTCCACTTTCAAGGACATCAGGTGCTATCTGGTGCAGGGAAGGAAGCCTAGAGTCAAAATCTTGCCCTAGCCCGATACCTAAATGACAAGCAACATGTGGCAATTTGGGGAGATTCGATGTTTTGAGCAAAACACTTTTGGGGGAAGCTAAAACACCTGTTAGCAGTGCTCTCAAGGTGTCAAACCAACGATTCCCTTCTAAGAATCCGTGATGGCTCTAGGAGACAAAGCATGGCGCAGCCTTTTGTTCCTCCCCACACACTAGCCGACACGTGGGACACGGGCAACCCAAACACTCCATGAAACTGTAATATTTGCCGATCAGTAGGGGTGGTTGAGCCGGGGTCAAATAATATATATATATATATTCCAGTCCCACGATTCGTGTCTGGTACCTAGCAGTGTCTGGTGCCTGTTCATCTCCAAGCTAGAAAGTCAAAAGATGATGTGAGCTGCTGACAGGTCAGTTTAGCATCCCAAACACTTCCAGGTCTGTTGGTCATCTTCTGTCTCTTCCAGTTCTGGTGCTTAGAAGGTGCTCAGTTCTGTGCATTTTCCAGGTCCATCCGCTCCAAGTCCATCCGCTCCCAACTCCGCTTCCCGCCATGCCGCGCCCGTCGGTCCACCGGCGAAGCCATTGAGAGCACGGCCTCTTCGAACTCACTAAAGCTCAGCGCGCCGTCGGTGCCGCGGTGGTACCTGGCGCAAATGAAAACAATCCCGAGGGCTCCAATTACCTGAGAAGATGGTTCTGGTGGGTGCCAGCGGGGGTCTAACCACCTTCTGAGGATATTGTTGGAGGTTTAGGGAAGGACATGATATGATGATGTATGGCCGAACATATCCATTGATATTTTGGCACCATTTTGCAGCTGTATAATATTTGTGCTTATACATGTTGTCGTTACGAACATTCCGTGAATCTCTTCAGCATGCATCCTGTGAGGTTGTTGCTTTAAGGCTGCCATGTGCTGAAAACATGTCCCAAGTACTTTCGACATCTTTACCTAAGACATCATCGAGTATGTAAATGTGTTGTCGCCGTTTCGGTGCCGTTTGAGCACCTTTTCGTTTCTTTTGGAAAGTGATGTGTTTGGTCATGTCACCCTTTCTATCCAAAATCTACAAAGTGCTGCACTACATAAATTTCAGCCGCCTGCCTCAAGAACTATGTATTCTTAATGTTTCTTCTAAACAACCAAACACACACATACAAATGAAAATTGTAGGTATACCTCAAACCCAACACGGGCTTGCTGTGTTTTTGTTAAACATATTTGCAACGTCACAAACAAGTTTCTCATTAGTTCTAATATATACCGATTTTATATCGATTCTCTATATATATATATTATACATGTTAATGCGTGCTGCGTCACACGCAAAGCAACTTCTTCCAACAAAACACTAAATGAACAACAAATCAAGTAATAACCGTATATTACTACACCATTCACAAATATAAAATGTAATACAGGTGCCACATGCTACAAAACAGGCGGTCGCGCGTCTCCAAGAAGTTATCCAATCGGTCGACCGGTCGTATTTTCGGCACGTGTCCAAGATGGCCGTGACAGCGCGGTCCAGCTCTGCATCGGTGGCATGATGGCCTTTCACCTAAGAGTCGATGGCTGAATGGTTTTTCCTTTAGGAGCAATGACGCTACTAGTAGGGTTTACAATGGTTTATAGGTTTTGAGCCTGAGCAGAGCCGCTAGTATTGGAACTCTATGTTTCTTTACATTGATACTGGGGGGTGTTGTTAATCAACGGTTCAAAAAAGTGGGTGCTCTGAGACAATCTTGGGACAGGACTCAGTAGATCATGAGAATAAACAGTCGAAAGAGGCCTGGTATTGTTTTATGCTACTGGTACTCCCGCCAATCAAGAACACACGGGTCCATTGAACACAACTTGCCAATCAAACTACTCCCTAAGGGTACAAAAATGTACAAAGATTCACCTTGCTTCCAGGGCTCCAAGAGTTTTACTGTAATAACAAGTGGAGGAATCACCTCATTGCTTATTGCCTTCGGCAGCTGTCATGGCATATGACATCACACGGCTGCTGTGGTAATTGAACAAAGCATATAGCATTCTCCTCCTTCCCTCATGAAGCAACCCTATTCCGAAAGAATATTCAGGGTCTCCATGTTGATCTTCAAGTCACCTTCTACATCCTTCTACCCAGAACAAATCATCTTCTTCCATCTTCTCCCAAAAACTATACACCATTGGGACGCTCTCTCCACCCTCCGCTGGACTCCTTCGACTCTGCACCCCGGTGGGCCTCTGCCATCAAGCGCCGGAGCTCCGTGGCGCACAAGGTCCCTGGCCGAGACGGGTCAAAGCAGGAACTCAAAGGAGATCACGAAAAGAAACACATTGATCATACATGATCATGTATGGTTTGAATTGTTGTTGTTGTTGTTGTTGTTGTTGCTTTTAAATACACATATAAAATAAGCTCAAACATGCACAAACTTGCTTTTCAAGGAAGAACCGATTCCCATGTCAGACTTGATTTCGGGAAGAAAAGTGGTCAAACAAAGTTATCCCACATTAGGATATAATGGATGTTGGACAGGGAGATGGAGAAGATTCGATTCATTAATTGATCCTTCCAAGCGTGCCCACTGCGCTTTCGCTGGTCACAATGGTCACATGTTCGCTGGTCACAACATTTGTTGAGATTGCCCAAGGAACTCAGGGGAGCGTGGTTGTTGGTTTTCTCCAATGATTGTCGTGATATCTTGTGGTCAGTCATTTTGAGTAATTATGGGACAATTCCAAAGGGACATGTTCAAACAATGTTTGCTCTGTAACATGTTTAGCCCGGTCAAACATGCTCACTCTCCCTCTACCCGTGAGATCTTAAGGGCTTGTTGCCAACGGATTTAAGCCTCACTCTGGCTTGATCAATCCTTAAAAATATGGCCGAGTCCACCTGATTGATCCACATCCAAACGTGCAAAGGCACGTTTGAGCTCCTGCGCGAGTTACTTGTGACCGTCACTTGTGTTTCGCTGCAGCGAACAGTGAACATTCATGTTCAGGGGAGGAACACAATGTTCACCCTACAGTATCTCAGGCACTTGGATGAAAAAGTACTAGGGTTCTCACTTGACAGGCTGTTGATTGCTTGCTCAAACGATCTGCGCCTCTGATTGGATTTTCTGAGCATGCACTGGGGGGGTGATTGAAGCATTGAAGGTTTTTCAGCAGTGCAGGTTTAGCTGAACCGCTTATCCTAACTAAGAGTAAGACAACATAGTTTGCAGCAATGTGTCGTCTGAATCAGATATCAAAAGTGTTGAAATTTAGGACATCAGCATATATATATATATATCCGATAGCTTATCTTTCAACGAGGTTCTCTGGGGGGGGGGCACATGTTCGGTCCTCTGGTTGTGCGCTGGCGACTCGCAGCGCCTGTCGAGTGCCGAGAACTGCCAGCAAGGCATCTACGCCATTCCCCCACAAGTATCAACCCCAACAGAACTCTTGGTTTAGCAATAGGAGACTAAATGGAAGAAAAGAAGACATTAATAAAACAACAGAAAATAGTAGTTTAAACAAAAAAATAAGAATAAGAAACAACAACATAACAAAAATAAGAATAACAAAGATTTGGGATTCATTTTTTTGGAGTCGCTCGGGGGGGTTGACATTGAGCAATGCCTCCAGATCCCATGCCAAACACCCCGCCTGAATAAAATTCCTGGGCGGTATGATCAACGCCAACTCCTGGCAAAACATCCGCAGACTGCGCACGGAGATCTTCGCTGGCCAGAAACCACCGTTTCGTCGCACCTGCGGGGAGGACATTTCTGGTGGTCCGACAACGACTGAAGTTTTCGGACCACCGTAAATGACTGGATTTGTCACGTTTCCTCCCACAGGAACACATGGCTGCGCGTCGTCAACGCAGGCGTCAACGCAGGCGTCAACCTATGCTCTGAACGTTGCACGGCCTTGGCCTGAGAACGTGGGGGGGAGGGTCATCATCAACCTATAACTTCGTCTGTGAATGGCTAGATCGCCCGTCGAAGTGTGAGTAGTGGTCTACCACAAGCCTGGCTGACAGCAGTAGCTGTCAGCGTTTTTGACTTTTTCACACAAGCCTTTTGTGTGGAGGTTACTCACCCTCTCCCCTGTCCCGCGCACACCTTTCCAGTAGAAACCTGTCACTTTGTGATTCCCTTGCCTGGCTCTGACACGGTACGAGTCTGTGGCCAAGCATCCTCATAGTGACCAGTTACAAAAAACACTCATGTCGTTTTGTCCAAGGTGTTGAAGCTGACCAGCTTCAGTCCAACACTGGACAGAAGTCAGAAGTCAGTAGTTCAGTAGAACTCCATTTATCCTACTGACAACCATGTCCAACCCAACTGACTTAAGCGCTTCTCGACACAGTCGCCTCTCGCGAGTCGCGGCTCCAGTCGACCCCACCTCGCTACTGAGGCTCAGAGTCTCGACATCCTCCGCCTGGAGCCGACCAAAAGGAGGACAGGATGAACAGCGTGAAGGACAGGATGAACAGCAAGAAAGCTGCCCACAAACACTCAGGCACCATAGGGCACCATACTGTATGATTTAGATGGTGATGGAGAAACTTCTCGTCAAGCGGTTTTTTGAAGCGAAAACGAGGTCTTTTGATCCGATACGATCAAACTGTAAACCCTCACTTTGCTCTTAGGAAGTAGAGAAAGACTAGTTTCAGTATGTTTTGGTTCCTATGGTTGGGGGCATGGATGGGAACCCCATTTGCTGCCCAAAGACTCCCCGCCTTAGGCGGTTCTTTGGTCGAGAAGGCTCTGTCAAGCGCCCACCGACCGCCCACAGGTCCAGCCAGGCAGGGGTGTGGACCACTCACCAGCAGCGGTTGTAGAAGCACCTGCTCCAGAAATGTCCAGACCAAAACAAGCTGCAGATGTACGACTCGCCAAGGAGGGGTATGCAGGCGGGCGGACGTCTCCGACCCAGGCATTCTCTTGATGGAGGAAATCCTATATATACTATATATATATATATGCACATCATCCCAGTCAGCTAGTACCAACCCTTCTTCTTTACCCCACGGCAGGGCAAAATTCCGAAATCCTGATCTTGCTCTCAAAATGCAAAGAGATCACTTTCGCGAGCAGCAGGATGCGTCCTTCGTTGGACGCTGCCCACCTGTCGATTGGCCCAGACCCGACATCCAGAGCGCAGTCCGCGGGCAGCGCGAGCAGCGCGCAGCATCGCGTTCACTGGTTGTCAACTGTTGGGTCGGGCATCTCCAGGTTGAAGGTAAGAGGCTGGATGAGGTGAGTGAGAAATGGAATAGGTGTGATGTGTCTGTAATCAACCTTGCGATAGACGGGACAATCCAACCAAACAGCAGGACGTCCTATGATTTCTTGGAGTTCTTATTACTTGTTAAAAGACAAAATAAGAAAACCATCAGCAGGATCATGTCCGGACATGATGGGAGGTCTATGGAGGGTCTAAATGATCCGAATAGTAGGTGCTTTTCCCAGTAGAGAGGCTCAGCAAATACCCCCTTGACGATCAAATTCTTGGTTTGATCGTGAGTCTGCCAAGTAAGGCTGCTTCAAGCATCTTAGATCCAGCACACTCGATCACACCGATGGATTGCATGTTATATATAATATTATATTATTATATACTGTATACATATATATATATTATATGTATATATTGTTATCTGTAATGTGTTGTGTCTAGTTTTATGTTTCTTATTTATTCTTTTAATTCTTCAAGATGCTGAGCATTCTGATCTCAGGCGTGTTCATATCTGAATCTCTGCGGCGAACGGCGAATGGAACTGAAAAAAACATGCAATGTGACCTCCGGCGCCAATCGAATTCACTTCGGCTGCGGTGCCAAGACGCCTCGACTCATGAGAACCTCCGGCATGCGGAAGGAATGCAAACGCTTGGAATGCGTTCATTCGCCCCAAAAGCATCACCAAAAGCTCCAAAAAGTGAACCTCCGAACCCCATGCCGTTCCCCAGCCGCGACCTCGTCCAGTGTGGGACCCTGGGAGGCACGATCTTGCCATCGGTTTGGTGTGAAGGCCTGCCCAACCCCCCATCTTCTCTGTTCTGCTCGTCATCTACCTTCAACTACTGAAAAACACCCTCAACAAGTCCTGAACAAGTCATCGTGTTGCCCAGTCATTTCCACATCGCAAAGCTCTTTTTCGTTCAGCGCGTGAAGTTCAGGTTCCGGCTGAGCCTCGGCAGGCTTGGAGGGGAAGGCAAGCTACTTCAGCATCGAACATCATATGGAAATCTAATGAAATTCTAGCACCTGAACGACTTTTGCAACATGGGACGTTGCCACCAACAACACAATAATAATGGATGCTGAATCATGAACAAAATCCTAAAGCAGCTGAAAGATCCTGGGAAGACAGGATGTTGCCATCGACACAGTGCTTGACAGTGCTTAACAACATTAGATGCACAAAAAATATGGGCCGTCTCCTTGTGACTCTCAGGAGGAAAAAGGCACACTGCACTTACACTGGGCTGCTTCCCTGAATGCTTGACCATGTAAGTAACGCTGAAGGCACTGAACAGCTCTTCTCACCTGTTGCATGAGGCTCCTCCTAGCACCTATTCCATAAGGCCCTCCATAAGGTCCATTCCTCTCCCCAAGCACCTACCTGGTACCACGCTTCCGAAGATTCCGCTGACTGGGCCGCAGCGCAGGGCCCGGGTCGCCCACTGGCGCTTGGCCACGAGGAGCGCCTCGTGGTGGCAGAAGCGGAGCTCGTAGTGGTGGTGAAGCCCACTGCTCCTGACGGAAAACAAAGAGATCCCGATTTTCTCCGGAGGAGATAGAGAGAAATCTCTCAGACCGAGGCCAACGAGAAAGTGCGTGTTTCTACAAACGAGGACGTGTATGAGGATGTGGGTAAGAACATATTGGAACCATAGTAGGCCGTATAGTTAATTACTATAGCTGCTGTTCACCAAACAAGGAAGTGTTTCAAAGGTGGCTCAGATATTCCAAGAGTTGCCCAGTCAACCGTTCTCTGAAGCTTTTGGGCAAAGCATGGCAAAGCAGTCCCCAACCATTGAGCAGCACTATCTCTTCCATCTCTTGGCTTTATTGATGTGGGCTCGTTTATCTCTTATCACCCAGTCAAGTGAAATGCAAAGAACCCAGCCACAAGCAAACGTAAATTCACATGACCAGGTGGCCAAATGTTTTGGACCACAGAGCGGCACGTGTGTATGATACCAGGATGATCTGATCCCAAGTCTCTTGAACCAAATGCCATCTGGAGTTTTCATGAGTTTTCCATTCCGCATTCCCAAACTGGCCTCATCTCCCCAAGGCTTGGCTCGAATCTACGACCAAGTTCGGTCTCCAAACCCGCAGAAGACAAGCAGTTTTTAAGCTGAATGGGACAGTCACAGTTGTGCCCCATCATGGCACATGCAAACATAAAGGGATCCACCTTCTGCCGGGAGCTTCGCGAAGCTACAGGTCCGGTGCCGGCACCGCGGAACACCGAAACAACCCGCCAAATGCGACGACCAAACGACCCCTGGGTTGAAGAGCAATATTGCTCATCAGCTTCATTTTGGTGTAGATGTTTAGGTCCATACCGTCCAGACCCATGGGGAGTTCTTTGGGTCTGGTAAAGTCAAGTACAGTACCACCAACGACTGTCCGTACCCACCGGGAGCTTCGCTTCGGACGGCTGGGCAAATGCCTCATCCAGGCTCGCCAGGCGCTGGGCGGTGGCCGGTAGCGGCCATCTTGCAGCTGTAACTGAGGCCGAGCGCTTTGGGGGGCGCCATCTATGGCAGGATGAAGTGAAGGCCAAGTGGTTCTCTCGGCTGAACATGAACACGGGCAAGTGCTAAGTGTGCATATACTAAAAGCAAAACAATGAAGAAATCTGAGGTAGTTCTGGCTGGATTTCGTCGTTCTCGTCCTGGTGGAGCTGCTGTCCTTTCCGGGAAGGAAGTAGTGGTTTATAGCGCAAAAAAGACGAGGAACTCCGGGATAAGGAAGACCTCTGAAGGTCACGGTGTTTTCCAAACCGTTGGAGGCCATTTTGGCCCCCAAGACGAGGGAGAAGTTCTTGACCTCCCAACAACTGAAGTTCATATAGAGTATCATAGCTTTGGTTTCCTAGAGTTTTGACAAAAAACAACTTGTGAAAACGATAAAACGATATGTGTCAATGTCCCTCCAGCAGCGAAACATCGAAACATCTGCCTGTGACTCCATCCGCAGTAATGCGAACTGCAGGCGGCCCGCGGATAAGAGCCGCGGAGCACCTGGCAGGGATCAATGAGCAAAGACTAGACAAACCCTGTCCAAGAATAGATTATATAAATCAACCCTTGTACAAAGCATGCTCTATTTTCACCCAGCCCACTGTCAAAATCAAGAAGTAGACCTCTTTCTACCCAGATCTTCACCATTCTTCTCCCCACAAGATCCAAAAACCATCGCGAACACCGAAGAAAGCCCATCATTATACGTCTCCCTACACGTCCCAGCCATCATCCTAGCTGCCCTTCGCTTCCACCCAGCCAGGCACGATCCGAATATGGTGGGACCCCGCCGGCGTCTCCGGCAGAATCTCCGCGGGAAACCCGCGCTCGTCGAGTCTGGCGTCGCGTCTCGCGTTGAGTCTCCGCCTTGGAGGAGGTCGAGCTCACTGCCGTCGGTGTGGATCTTTAAAACCCATGGATCATCTGGCGAGATCCGGTGTGACGTCAGTCGGCCCGGTGTGACGTCGGGTGTCGATGGGTGTGTGACCGGCCCGGTATGTGTCAACAAGCTGGAGACAGTGTGTTGTTCTTTTCTATGATGTTTTTTTTAATCATCTACAGTATCTGATTGCAGAGCAGAGATGCTACTTCTCTTTGGGAGGTATCATGGGAATGACTTATTGACTCACTTCTTGGGAATCGCAGATGTTTTTGGCTTCGCTGGATTCTGCACCCTCGCCTGTGAGATCCTGTGAGAATGGCAGCTTCCCACCCGACACCAGTGATACAAGCGGTGGTCAAGATATTACCTACTTAACTTTGGAGACACTTGGATTGAGGGGATCCAACTAGAGCTCAGCATCCTCGTTCACAAGAAGTATACCCATCATTGCTGCACTCAGCACCCCCCTAAACCGAAGCCCATCAAACCTTGTACCCTACCTGCAAAGCAAGGGGGAGTACAGTACCTCTGCAGGGGCATCTGCAGGCGAAGAACTGATATTATACTAAGTTAATAGGTTGTCGATATTCCTCTTCATTTTGCCCCCAAAAATGATTGAACTTAAAACACACATTCATTAGCAGGTCCGCCACGACATTCAGGTCTTGGACCATCACGTCGCCCGGTCGCGCCTCCCAGATCGCTCAGTAACGCATCTAACGAGCTTTGGCCGCGCGCCGAGACCATCACGTGATGCACCGTCATCGCCTCGCTTGATCGACCCCTTGGGATGGAAACCAGGGACGTCGTTGGGTGGATTGGGTGGGTCTAAAACATTCTAAAACACACCCTCTTCATAGAGCGAAACACACCCTGATCACCGGCCGGTCCTTCTTCTTCTTGAATGTGACGCAACAAACGTCCGAACCCATGAGGTAAACGGAACAGTACGTGAAAACTGCATCATCTGAATTTGAAGCAACACCACCCATTTGGGTGGTTATTAGATGGGTTCAATAGATCGTCTAAAAGGGGGGGTCTATAAACCACCCAAACTGGGTGGTGCTGGAATATGAGTTTAAATAACTACCAATGTCTCTCTCCCACGGCCGCTTTTACCTCGCTCACACGCTCCGCACGAACGCGCGCACGCGGCGCACATGGGAAAGCGCATTGAGCTCTGCGGAGGTGAGCGCCAAGCGCGCCCAGAGCTCATCGGACCTCAGCGAGGGACTGGGATCGTGACCCATTTGGAGCCCGACCAGTCCACCATCCATGGTGGACTGGCGCATGGGGCTAGTCACTTCGAACTTCGACAAGTAGGGGAAAGGTCAAAACCTGGGGCCCTGGTCTACCATGTAGTCAACGCGGATGGTCACGACCCCCAACCATATCATGATATATCCAACCAATGGTTACGGGACATGGTTTTGTGGGCGTAGTCCTCTTTTGTCGTGTTAAGTGTGACTCCTTTCTTCCTTGGGACCACAAAAGTAGACCAAAACATCCAAAGCAAAGCATGGGCCTTGAAGATGCTGGCATCACCCATTAATACTGTAGTCAGAACATCCCTGACAGTTTCAGTATTCCAGCAAGAACCATGCTGAAGCTTGCCAAGTGAAACATGCCCAATTGATTTGTTTTTCTATATTAACCTAAAACACTAACCTGGAACCATCTAGAACCCATTTGACCCCTTTTGGTCAACAAAGGTTGATGATCCGAAATGGAGATCACTCAGTTTCTAAGGAATGTCCATCTTAGTGTCTGTGAGTAAACAAAAAAAACATGGCACTTACAATGGCTGGAGAGTTCTTCAGCTTTGGAAGTGTCTGTTCCTACACAAGTCTTCCTCAGTGCCACACCCCTCCCTCTCTCTGTCTGTAGTAACAGTATGTGATTTAAAATATTTGTACAAGTGTTTCGATACCTTCAGTGACACTGAGGTATGGAGATTCAAGTGACACCAATCAAGGCATATAATCCGCCGACCCCACTCGTGGGGTCAGGCGTGACTGTTGATTAATTAAGGCTAAGGCTATGATTAAGGCTAAGGCTATGATAAAGGCTATACCTCCCCTACCCCTCCCTACCTTTGCTGAAGTGACGAAAAGTAGCCAAGAATTGTCCAAAATTTATCCAAATGTATTCGGTTGCTTCTTACTGGGGATTGGGGCACCCTCTTCACCCGCGCGGGAAAATAAGCACGGTCCCTAAATGGTCCCGGGCTCGAATCCCGGCCTGGTCCCTGCCAGTGCCCTTAAAGGTTTTTCTAAGATTTACTCATGCCTTTCTCGAGGGTTTTTCCAGGATTTTCTATGATTTTTCCTCGAATCCCGGCCTGGTTGCGGCCTGGTCCCTGCCAGTGCCGTTGGCTTTCCCTAGATTTTGTACCGTTTTCCGCTGGATTTCTTGGATTTTCAAAGGTTTTTGTAAGATCTACTCATGCCTTTCATGCCTTTTTCGAGGGTTTTTCCATGACGTTCTATGGTTTTTCTAGGAAGTTCTGTGGTTGTCTAGGGGCTCCGTGTTGTTTTTTGGGTTCCCAGATTTTCAAAGAAAAATGCTAACCCATTTGCCGTGCGCTCTTCTGCCTACTTTGGTGATGCAGTGACAGATCATGTCTCTAGGGTTCCGTGTTGTTTTTTGGGTTCCCCGATTTTTCGGAAAAAAAACCTAACCCATTTGGCTGCCTGTGGTCTGGCCCCTAGGGGTCGGCGGCTGCAGGCGCTAGCCTGGTTATATATATATATATAGATGTCCAAATATTCCCAAATAGATAGAAGTTCGTAGATCTCCACTAAACATGTATTGGAAACCCTGCCATCCTCTCTATTTGGGGACAACCACCAGCAGCGTTCGCCCATTTCCTTCAAGTCTCGCCAAGATGCTCATATGCCCGGCATCGAGGTGATCTCCACGCGCCAGACATGTCGCCCAAACGTTTCAAGGTCCAAAGACAGCAGTCACCCAACATGCTTCCAACGTCGACCACCTGCAAGGCTTGGAGAGGGGATGAGAGGGGTCCGTTGGGGAAAAGAACATGTCACGGTGTGTTTTGCAAACAACCTCCTTGGTGGTTCCAACTCAGTGGATGTCAGTGGGTGAGATTCAATCATCCCAAGTAAAGGTTGAACCTCAAAACCCTCGAAGCCCCCGCCTTGGAACGAATGGACCCCCAACATGAACGCCCGGAACGGATGGAATGGTCGCGGAACCTTCGCTGACCATCTGTCCTTCTCTCCCCCAGACGAAAAGAGAAGCTGCAGTCGACTCGGAGCTTCGGAAAGACATGGGGAGAAACCCGAGATGTCGAGACGTGTGGTGAAAAAGCGAAAGAGACATGCGTTTGGGTGAAAGCACCTGTATGGCGGTCTTCTGCGGTAGGAACTCCACCAATGTATCGAAGGCATTCTGGCGTCGTGGAAGCTGGAGGAAGGAGATTCCGCAACAATCGGACTTGACCCAAGATGGTTTCACCTTCCTTGAGATAGGTGGAACATCACAATAAAGGCCTTTCAAAACCATGGATGTGAATGTTTTATCATCCCAATGTCTTGGTCAAGTCTTGGGTAGGGTATCTGCCGCTCCGAACAACAGGGGTGGTTTACTGAGTCCATTCCATGCCATGAGAACCGCGGATGGAGACCACGACCCAGACAGCATGACGAGTACCTAATTACTCATCAAGAGAGCACTGAAGTTACATGATGCTGTCCAAAAACCATAGGAAGAAATCCCTGAACTCTTCCAACTCCGAGTTTGCCTCGAAACAACTTCGCTTCAGCTCCACCGTGATTTTCTGCAAATCCGTGTGTGTTTGGTTTGTCAGCCATACCCAGACGTCCTGGAAGACTAAGCTACAATGCGGCCGCCCAGTGGATCGGATGTTGTCTCCCACAAAGCCTCGGATGCCAAGGCCATGAGTTCGCTTCACGTTCGAAGACGGGTCGGGTTCCCCCGAGTCACGCCCGAGAGGTGTGGTTCGGCCCGAGTTGCTCGGGTTCGGTCAGATGGTCAGCATCATCAACATCTGTCTATAAATAGCAACAATACACTGCCCGGGGATGTGAAAGACCATGCAGGGAGGATAAGTTATTGATTCAGTCAACATTTGTGTTGTGTTGCTGCCCTGTAAGACCTTTGGATTGGATTTGGGGGAACACGTGGGTCCCTAGGTATTGTCGCAATACAAGGAGGACACCCTGCAATTCCACCCCTCGCAAGGAAATATGTTGACTTGGCAAGGTTTGTTGAGTTTGTTGTTTTGACGCAAGCCCAGGGCCCTTGCTGCAAGAATAAACTTGCTTGGGGACACTTTGATCTTAGTACTGAAGTCTATCCCACAGATTGCAAACCAAACAGACCCGCCATGTCACCGGGCAGCCAACACGACGCACCTCTCGACACAAAAAAACACGACGGCGACCTCGCTCCACCACGCTGCCATATGTCCCGGGACGTCGGTATCTGGGGACCACCAACTTGCCTGTGCGAGTCGCCGGAGTCACCCGCGGATTGGCCGAAGATGTCTCACCAACGGCCCCCATGGCGAGGCCAAAACACGGTCCGAGCGGTCCCCATCAGAAAAGTGTCCCTCCATGGTTTGGGTTGTCTTTTTGGTTCAACAGTTGAAACGTGTTGACTTAAGATAGGTTGGAAAATCACCATCAAACGTTAAAAAAAATGGTTTCTGGCAAGTTTCTGGTGGTTCTTCTACACTTCTACATACTACATGGCAAAATTGCAAACAACACTTGAGGTTTGACATCTTTGGAGTTGTGGATTGAATTTAAACATCATAACTGATCCAACATGGCCCAGCGACTCCTGATGGCATCTGCCAGGCTAGGATTGTGGATTAAGCAGGTCTGGTTCGTGAGCGAAACCAAGTTACTAGATTCAATCTTACATAACGTCATGGAAATATTTGTTTGCATGGCCCTATATGATGTGAGAAAGTACTTCATTAGTGCAAACCTGGTGAGAAGTTCGTGCCAATACTCCAGAAGGACACTAAAAACAAAAAACAACCCCCAGAAATCTCTCATCTACTCGTCGTGTAGTGACGTCGTGTTCCAGGCACTCCTTGCGAAAGAACTGAACTCCAGCTGGACAGGACCGAACTGGATCGGATTGTCCCACGCAAAGTTACATATTCTACAACATGAATTAGCACATAGCCACGCCAGCTCTGCGGAGAGTCCAAGGTGCGGATAAAGTTTGATCAACTCACTGCTCATTCAATGCATTCGCAGTTCCCGCAATTCTTGAGGCACAGATAGAAACTAAAATTGCATCAGTGCTTTGCTTGTCACTGTCTAGCTAAATACATTCAAGTCTTGCAGCCTTGCATTGGAATTGGCCTGCTCAACACAAGATCGAGCTCAAAAAATGGAAGCCATGACAGGGGCATTGGGCATTGCATTGGCCGATTTGGACCAAGCATGCAAGTCGTCGTTGTAAAACCGTCGATCCTTGGATGATGGCAACTCGTCCAGTCCGTTTGCTTGCGAAGTTCAATCTTTGTGGTCGCCAACGCTCCGGCAAAAAAGTCGTAAAAATCAGCCCGAGCGGTCACAATCAGCAAAGTGTCCCTCCATGGTTTGGGTTGCGCATTTTCTGTTCAACAGTTGGAAGATGTTGGAAACAATCCTGAAGAATGCCATCAAGATTGGCCGGAAAGTCACCATCAAACGTCAAGAATATCCACTCGACTCGCTCCTGGTGGTTCTTCTACATGGCAAAGCTGCAAGCAAAACTTGAGGGTTGACATCCTTGGAGTTGTGGACTGATTGAGACAACTAAAAATGTATCAGACATGTGTCTCATTTCACACCGGTGACGTGAAGCTTTCGCTGAAACTGGGTGGATGGCATCTGCTAGGCTACCATTGTGGATTGAGCAGGTCTGCTTCGTGGGTGAAGCCAAGCTGCTAGATTCAGTCTCACGTCATGTCATGGAAACCTTTGCTCGCGTGTCATGTGGGTGAATGCTTAATTGGCACAAGCCTGGTGTGAAGCTCGGGCCATTACTCCGCAAATAGTTACAAGCCCCAGGAATCCATTTATCTATATACTCGTGTAGTGACGTCCTGTTCCGGCACCTACCACCTTCTGATTGCTCCACGCAAAGTTACATATTCTACAACATGAAGCTAACACATAGCCGCACCAGCTCTGCGGAGAGTGCATAGTGCGGATAGGGCCTGATCAACTCACTGCCCACTCAATGCATTGGCAGTTCCCGCCTTTCTCGAAGCACAGATAGAAACGACAAAAGCTGCAAACAGTGCTTTGCATGTCATTTGGTAGCTAAAAGCAATGAAGCTTTGTATCGCAACTCAGCCTGCTCAACACAAGATCTATAGCTCAAAAAGTGGACATCATGGCAGGCGTTTTGGGCATTGCCATTGTCGGATTCTGACCAAGCGTGCAATAAAAAACCGTCGATCTCAGGTGTGACGTCATGTCCTGAGGATAGATCCAGGGCATCTTCTGAGATGTTACATAATATTTATGTCAGCTGGTGCGAAAACGGTGCCCTTGCCCACTACCCCACGCAAAAGCTCTGGCCTGTGGTCTCAGGTTGCCATCTGAAGCGTTGCTGAAGCTGGGAGGGCTGGATACGGACATGCACCTCAGCATTAACATGCCTTCCCAGCACAAAAAAGACATTGAACATAATTATGAATCGATTCTCAAAGGATCTCAAGCGTGTTTTTTATCCACAAACATGTTGAGCTGCCGTCTCTGACCTGTCCTTTGCAATTTCAAGCTGCAGTTTACGACGCCTCATCTCTGACCAAGTCGCCATCGCTGGAGTCTGGAGCCAATCGACTGCCTCAAAAAGCGGCCAAGGCCATTGGAGCAACCTTAGTGAAAGCTGAGGCTTAGCGGCTTAGCGTGAAAAGACTGAGCTGAGACTTTCGGTTCGCTTGCTTCGCAGAAGTTCACTCATCTTGCCCCCCCCGGCAAAAAGAACATATCTCCCTATATCTCTCCCTCATACCGTGCCATGTGGTCCCAAACTCGCACACATGCAGTGTTCCCACTGCACACGCGCGGGCGCGAACGGACGTCGGACCCTGGATGAACCCGAGGGACTCCACCAGGTTGTCCATCGGACCCCGACAGCCGCGCATGTCGCTCTGCACGATGCGCAGGAAGTCCTGCGCGGTGGTTGGGGGGTCCGTGCGTTCGGAAAAAGCGGTGGGTTGAGCGAGCTGCCCATGTCGTGAAGCGTTGGTCCAAAAATGAAAGTCCTAAAAAAGAAAAGGAGTCAGCTGGAGAGCTCCTTTTGCTTCAGCTTGGGACGCAAGTATGGTTTCTCCCCAGCATCTCATGCTTTCCTTCAACAAACCCTGAATGATCTGCATGCATTCTCCTCCATGGGAAGAGGCATTGCCATACTCCTGGCTTGCCAACCCAACGGCGCCCAGCACACGCATCCTATACTTCAACCAGTCACTTATCTCTCTTATCTTCCGAATGTTCAAGCGACTTGAAGACCCAACATGGAACAACATCCGGCCTTCTGAACACTTGAAGAACCTCTTGAAACTGATTTCTTCTTCTCACTCACCTCATCAAAGAAACGTCCTTGGTCCTTTCCTCGGCCAACTGGCCAACTCGTTTAAAGGTTCCTTGTAAATACTTCATCAACTCACACGAATCTTCTTCTCCAGTGCCAGCAGCTTCTTCACCCTTTGGACGCGATGGGCGCTTTGGAGCGCTCTCCTGGCCCCATCTGCCACCAGCAGCGTCCCCAAGACCGTGGGCGGGAAACACTGGCTGCGGCGCTGTTGGGCATAAACCAACCAGCGCTGATAAGAGGACTGGTCGGGGCCCAAGTAGCTCTGCACCTGGCCAGATATATGTCGTGAATCAAGGTGTTTTCACGAGTGGCTGAAAGCATCTCAAATCTGCTTGGTTGTTCTGGACAATTCTGCAATTTGAGCCTCCCAAACACATCTCATTCGCCCATGACCCATGGCCCAATCGATGCCCGCCACACAGTATAGGACGCGCCCACACAATGTGTGCACCCGACTCGCAATGGGAAAGCAGTGACTCGCCTCCTCAGCCGAGCTCTGAGGCCGCAGGAGTTGAGCCAGATCTCTCCTGGTTTCGCGCTGGAAATCCGATCTCCAGCGCTGGGAATCAGGTAGGGCAGAAAGGTAAGGTCAGGTTAAGTGGATTCCTGGGACCCAGCAATTCCTATATAAAATGATGCTACCCTGAGCAGTCTTGATAGCGTTGATGATGAAAATGAAGATGGAGAATTGGAGAAGGAAGAACACGATGATGATGATGATGATGATGATGACGATGATGGTGATGGTGATTATGATTATGATGATTATGATGATGATCATCATCATCATAATGATGATGATGATGATGGTGCTGCTGATGATGATGATGGTTATGATCTGTTTTAACTTGTTTTAATCAGTGTGCCAGTCTGCTATGTTCCACAGTAGAGTTTGGTTTGATCCACAACCCAAGTACTTTACTATGATGCTCATGTCAGTCAAATGGTGGTGGCATGGGGAACTCGACGGCTTTGGATCAGCGGGCAGGTGTCTACCCCGTATGCCCTAAGGCAAGGCTTCTTTAGCTGCCTCAAGGTTGGTATGAGTAGCGGCGCTATCATCATCCAGGAATAGACTGTGAGTCAAGTAATAAGTTACACCCAACACCAAACTCGACTCGACTAGTCACTAGCCAACTGCAGTAACTTATAGTCAAACAAAGATCTACTGATTTCCACCCAAAAGGTTGACTTACACTCAAAGATGTGGTTCTTCCAGCAAGCCCCTCTACAGACATCTCGCCACGAGTTGTGGTGCGTGATGTTCATCATCACCCTACGAATGCACGCACTCATGACTCCTGAATGAGATTTGACAAAGCCTTACATACCAGACCCTGAGAATTCAATACCGTTCGACCATCCTTTCGACCCACAAAGCCGTTCCTGCAACCCTCCCGCCCTGGTCCATCCGAGAACCAGCACTGCCCACGCGCCCGAAAGCACCCGCCAAGCACACCGCCTGAGCTCGCTGAAGTCGTCGCGGACGTCAAACTTGCTGCCCGTCAGCAGCGTCCCCAAGGAGGCCAAGATCCCAAAGATGGGCCAACCACTCTCGAGCAAATCCTCGTTTTCGTGGTTGGGGAACGAGAAGATCGAGGATCAGCAGAAGTCGAGGCTCAGCTCAGGGCGTGAGTTTTCTTCTTTTTGAGACGCCAGAAGTCGAGTGGATGGAAGGCTCGAGTGGAAGAAGGTCTGCATGAGACCTGAGGTTTAGATGGTTGGACCAGGCGATGTATCCTGAAACCTGGGGCGATTGGATTGTAAATGGTGGAAGACGGAGACCGACTTGGACGGCTTCAAGTAAATGGTTAGGAAAGAACTCGAACCCACTGAGTTGGTCGCAACCCCTCTGATCTCTCCCTGTTGATGCAAGAGTTCTCCAGCACCACCTATAACCCCTGTGTCTAAAACCCCTATCTAAGATCATCTAAGGCTTTCCGGTGCTTTCTAAAGCAACCATCTGTGGTCCCTTCTAAAGCAATCCTCCCAGGCTCCAGGCTCCTAGATTCGGGCTCCAAATCGCAGCTGAGGCTCGTACCAAGTGATCTCATCCTCCAAGAAGAGCATCGAATCCACCTTCCCCCTGCGCGTTTCGGGACTGGAAGGGTCGCCCATGGTCGCCCTACCCAAGGCATTCTTCAAGTCCTGAAAGGGGATTGGATGTATGTAGGACATGACTCCCAGCAAACCAGTCAACTAGGAAGTTGTTTGTATCAATTTGGTCTCGGCTTTGAGAGTGCAGCTCTTGTACATCTGTGCCCGGTCTGTCGGATCTTCAACCCGCTCACCGGCCCGTTTGGCTAGGCGAGGCACACCGTATCCCAAAGGCTATAGAGCACCAAGTTCCGCGTGGCCTCAGGTCGTGATAGCAAACAGTTGGGTGTATATATTGAAGGGCAAGCAACAACAAAACGCGTTTCCTGGGGTCAAACATTTAAAAACACTGTCTTCATGAAGTGAATGTTCAGTTCCCACATCCTTGACAGTCACTACACTGTTTTGTGTTTTATAGTGTTTAGCTCGTCTCCATCAGTATAGGACAAAGCGCAAATCCCTCACCGCTGATCTGGGGCGGTGTTACCTGTTGAAACGCTTACACTACATAGTGGAACCTGCAGGTTAGTGCTTGGCAACATGGCGCGGCTCACTTCTATCTCCAGAACACCACTTGTTGTTTGGTGGTCTTTCTCTCTTTTCAGAACCTCAAAGCGCTCGGCTCGTACCAGACTTGACCATCTAGCCAGACCGCCAAACCCCCAAAATGAAACACCATGGTGCCTTGCGGCGTTCGTAGCGATGCACCTTGTGACGTTCGTAGCTTCTTGCAACGGCTAGAAGCAAGAAACGGCCAATAATTAGAGTCCTTGGGCATGTCACTTCTCCTTCCTGTTCTTCTACCTTGTTACTAATAGTAAGGTGCCAAAGCACGGCCTTCCAACGGCATTGACCCACAACGGGCCTTGGGCATGTCGGGCGTCTTCAAGGCTTCGAGGATCTCCTAGCCACGCAGGCCACGTGTGGACCGTGCCAGCTCAGTGTTCGGTGCCAAAAGCAATGAAGCGACTCCCACAAGGTGAGATCTGTTGTCTGTTTTTCTTCGCGTTTCTTCATACTGTTTAACTGCCTATAAGAAGTGCATGGAGCCGGGGTTTTCTGCCTGTTTGTCTTTTTTGTTTAACTCTTATTATTGCTTCATACTGCCTATAAGAAGTGTATTTGTGTCTTGGCCGAAAACCCCTGCTCCAATGGATCTTCAGAGGCCAGTCTTGTTATATCATCGATTGTCCTTTCACCAAGGAGCCTTTGGGGCTTCCCTCTTGCACACCCACCCAGAAAGAAGCGACTGGCATTTCCAACTTGCCTGTTATACACCTCCCTTCGCCTCCTCGAAGTCTACTTGAAGCGCAGGGTCCATCATGGTTGTGCTGGGAGGCTTGGTAAAGCTGCCCTCCCTCCGAGTTCCTATCATTAATCAGGATGGTTTCACTGCTTAGCTGGCTTGTCTGCTGAATGCTAAGGTCCCAGGTGCAACCGGGGTTCTTCTTGAACTTCAGATCCAACGATTCGGTGTGCTACGATGGATTTTTTAATTCTGATCATCCAGTGACTCTACAAACAGACTTGACTGTCAGTCTGCTGACTGTCAGCCCAGTGATGCTTCGTTACAAAGTGATATCCAATCAAACTGCCACGGGGCGCATCGGGGCCCTCTCCTTTGAAGAGGTCAACAACACGGCTGTTCTCAGAGCCACCTGGCAGTTCTCAGTGGTTTTTGGTGGGTCACAAAGGATTCAATCCATAGACACCTCCGGAAAAAAAGTACATCCAAACTTCTGGTTTAGTGTATGTTGGCCAAAAAGGTGAGACCTTCACATGGGATGAACCTGCTAGGGATGAACTCCTTCAAATAGTCCATCAATCCAAATAAACCCACCATATTACACCATGATATAATCCACCTAGGGCTGATTGCCTTCTGCCCCCCCCGGACCAACATGGATTACTCAACTCGCGATGGGAAGAGGTCTTTGGAGGCTTTTCGTCTACCCAACACATTCCTTGTATGACCTGGCAGGTGGCGACCTCAAACCATCAATCAATGGATATCGGATATCTGATCACATGTATTATATATATATAGAGTTTTCCATGTATATCCTGGAGTACATCTCACGACCCGATCTCACGCCTCTCCAATGGGGCATTGTGCACATTGCAGGCTGTGGCAGGCTGTTGACCCTTCACCCGAGAAATAGGACGTCCTGGGCTGCGGGCAAACATCATCACAGCATAGATCATGGAAACCTATTTCCAAACATACCTGGATGCTCCAACTAGAATTTCTGACTTTTGACTGCATTGTTATATAATTAGTTAGAATCAATTAGATGAACAGGCAGAACATTCTGCGCAGTTGGAAGATCCAGGTATGTCCAAATGATCTCTTGCAACTGGCATACCTCTCTTATCGTCTGTTTATAGTGGGTTGAAGCCTTTTCTGTCCAACAAGAACATACAATCAATCGCAATACATGTCCAAAACTCACTGACAAGACCTCAACCAATCTCAGACCTTTCATTCACATCAGCTCAACACTCCAACAATCACCCAAAACTGATTTATTCCTTAACCCTGACACCACCAGCACACAGAGACCACCTGGTGAGAAGCTTTTTTGCACCTACGCCCCCTACGCTGGGTGAAGGATCAAAAAAAAAATAAATAAGGATCAAAAAAATAAAGCAATGAGATCAAAAGAAAAATTAATAAGGATCAACAAAAAATCAAAATCTGGTGACGTAATAACAAAAACAATTGACAGACGAGGATCAAAAACAAAACAAACAAGAATCAACAAAGAAAGAACAGTAATGTGTGCAGTGGCAACAGTAGTAGTGACCCTCGTCGTCGTTGTCGTCGTCGTCGTAGTAGTAGTGGTAGTAGTTGCAGTAGTAGTAGTAGTAGTAAGTAGTAGGTACTAGGTAGTAGGTAGTAGGTAGTAGGTAACAGGTAGGAGGTAGTAGGTAGTAGCAGTAGTAGTAGCAGCAGCGGCAGCAGCAGTAGTAGTAGTAGTAGTAGTAGTCGTGGTAGTCGTAGCCGTGTTGTGGGAGCAGTAGTAGCATCGGGTTCCTCACAGAAGATACTATGCTACACTGGACTTGCTGCTTCCTCCGCTGAATTTGTCGCTCGTTCTCGGGAAGCTCACAAAAGGTATATTTACATGGGAATGGCTCAGTGACCTGAGCAGGAATTCTGATCTTTTTCCACGCACGGTCATCATAAGTCTCTATGATAACAAAGGATGTAGGAAGCTTTCGGGGCGCAAAATACGTCTTCAAGCCTCTTCGACCCGATATAATGTCCGGTGTAACCCTGGGAAAACCAGAAGCCCTGGAAGACCTGACGCCTTGAAGATGCGCAATCTGCTCCTGCGTGCGTGGCAGACACATGATCTTTGATGCAAGTGGGAGTGTGCGCCGGCGCAGCCATTATGGTGAAGGCTTCCTACTCTTCCAACGTGCGCGCGTACAAGCGAGTTGCTTTCTGCGCGCACACGCGAGCGGCATGCCGGTCTGAAATCGGGCCCTGTTACGCCATGCCGGTCTTAACTCTTAACTGCAGGAGGAATGAGAGCGGGCAAGACAGTGTCAAAAATGAAAGAAACGAACCACAATGAATTAACCGATGTTTCTGTCATCACGTGCCCAAGTGGCACAGGGCAATCTCTTCTTTTCCGGTCGTGAAGGCTAGACGCTTCAGTCAGCGCAGTAGTCACCTTGGGAAGCATGTCTTGGAGAAAAAACAATTAAGATACTATACTTCTTGAGTACAAGGCTGAGAGGTTTTGGAAGCAAGCCAGCAGCAGCAAGGCGATGGTAAGAGGCCTGAGACGTCCAACGATGCAGTGTAAGAAAATGAAGGAACCAGTTGGTGCTGAAACTGATTGCCAACAACTGGCTCTATTCGTCGCAGACGCTGGCTTGGGTGCCTTGGTAAAGACCGATCGCGCCACGAAGAAAAAGGTGTGACAAGTAGACGGTCACAAGACCAGTATTTTTGTCTAAGCACCTGGCTCGTTGGGCAGATCCGCGGGCACTGACCTCAGTCGAAGCGATGTAAAGCGGCATCGAAAACAGCACCAAGCCATATCAGAGCAGACCAGTACTGATTAAGGTTGCAACGTTGGAATGAGGTAACTCTGCAGCATGCCCAGGTACCTACGCACGAACGAAGGCAAGTGACAGATCTCTATCAAGCAGTACGCAAACGAACTAGGAGCGAGACATCCGCAGAGTCCTCCCCAGCAAGCACCTATGGGTGAATGCTCAAGACAAAAAGACACACATAACATGCGAAAGTGCAACATCTAGCAAGCTCTTAGTCGAACACATCTGATGAGCCAACTCCAGCCGCCACCTCTGGGACATGAAGCTGGCAGACCGTGGTCAATGAAGGCTGACGCAAGGACACGCAACGGCGGACGGAAAGAACAAACATGCGCAAAAGGCAGCGACATACAAGATCAGCCCTTAGGGCCAGACTTCTGTGGGGACATCTGCAGGTGGCACCTGTCGCGGGCACTTCTGGCAGATTTGTGGAAATTGCGAAGTGATGTTCAAGCAAGGTTTTAAACCAAACAAAACATAGAACACCGAAGGTTGACGCATCATCAAACTTATATCCTGGCTTTTGAGGCGCAGGCCTGATGCTGCACCCACTTCGTGGCAGCGCTTTGCATTTGGAGGAGGACACCAGAAGGAAGACTTGGCAAGGCAAGGCGGAGGTCTGCAAAGCTCAGGACGGACAACTGATGAACTGTTATTTGCTGCTGTTGCAGCGGAGGATTCCACAAAGTCCACTGGTGACAGCGTAGAAACGCAGCAAGTGCAGCGTCCTCACGCGGAATGGCCAAAGGCTGAGGTCGAGGATGGCTTTGGTCCGAGAGCCCACCCAAAGCCGAGGGCAACAAGACTTGAACAGGCTGTTGTTCAAACAAAGGTACCGGCTGGCTTCGCTGGGGAAACACTGGCCGCTGTAGCGACAATTGGCCTAAAACGAGGAACGCAGCATGCATGTGCTCACAGGTTGCGTGGAGACAAAACTCGGCGCAAAACGCACAAAAGCCCTGCGTATGCGGGCTGAGCTCCTGCGCCATTGACTCTCGACGCCAGAATTGGGCAGCAAAGTGGCCCACTGCAACAACAACATAGGAATCCAACAGCTTCAAAAGCTTTTCCAAATCCAAAAGAGGCTGCGCCAGGCCGAGGTTCAATAGAGCGCGGGTCAAGGAGGTTTCAGAATTGGCCCGGAGAAGGTTCGCAAAAGCTTGCGCAAAACCAGAGGACGGACACTGCACGGCATTGTCAGGCGTTCTGACCCAAGTTTTGGAAGCGTGGTCATATGTGGCCAGGGTGCGGCGCATGCACAAGAATGTTGTCCCATCATCATCGTCAAAACGGTCCCACGCCTGCACCCTAAAAAACTGTTCCGCCGATGACCGGCCTTGCCGGGTCAGTGCGTCCGAATCCCACAAGACCATCTTATCAGGAAACGGTTCGGCTGGCATGTCGGGTAGGCACGAGCCCGCTGCACGCAAGTCCATCAGACGTGACTTAGTGAAGCTGGCTAAGGACGATGCGAAGGATTGCAAGCTACTGCGGAGGCCGAGGTACTTTTTAAGCTTCCAGCGGTGCCATGACTCCTGCGCTTGTGTGCCGGAAGCGGATCCAGGCTGGATTCGCTGCAGGCCACACCACCACTCAGCGGTGTAGAACGTAGTTGGTTCTCCGGGCCAGTCAAAGGCTCCAAAAGCAGTCTGGGCTTGCTGGCGCGAATGCTTGACAAAGTAATGCCTCTGCAATGCTTTCGCTGCTTTCTCTTCAGGGGGCTGCTGCGAAACAAGGGTTTGAAGAAGCAAAGCAGTGATGGAATGAAAAAGCAGAGCTGTAGGGACACAGCGAAGACAAAAGAACGCTCGCTCCACCAAGGGCAACAACTTCAGACCACTCTGCGTCAAATGGCTTTTCACTGTGGCAAAGGCACCTGTGCGGAAGGTTTTGATCCTCTCATCTGCAGGCATCAAAGCTTTTGTGGTCTTGGGGCGGTTGCAAGCACCAATGACATGTGCCCAGTCGGTCACCCGGCTAGCGCAGCGAAACACCGACTTTTGAGCCAGGTCCTCACCAGGGTGCATGTCTGCATGGTATTGGTGACAGGCCGAACGTAAGTCCACATCTGCAAAACGGTCAGCGCACGCACACAAAGCTTCAAATAAAACCTGGTAAGTCGTCTGACTTTCTTTGTTGGCAAGACCGAAAACAAGAGGATGAAAGACCGTGCGAAAAGCATAGACGCCCTCGGATGCAGCATAATGCTTGGACAAGACACCTACAGTCATCAAGACCCAATCATCTTCTGTCAGTCTAAATGTGCCATCTCCGCGCAATTTTATGTAGGTCTTGTTTGTCAAACTGCGCAACGTGTCTTGCAGTAACATTGGGTTGCAAAAAACTACTGCTGTGTCATCGGGTTCCAATAGGAGATCTGCAACCTTTAGCTCATTTACAGCATCATCTACACCCTGCACAGAACCCAGTTCACGCTCCAATTGTCTCCAGTCTGCAGCCACCCACTTGAAGGAACTGGCACGGGAAGCAGCACTGCCCTTGTGCACGCGGTGGTTCTTTCCCCACGTGCGGAGCCAGGCGTCTGACGGGCGGTCCGGCTGGTGTTGCTCGACGACCCGCACAAGGTCTTGGGTTGTGAAACGAGTATGGTTTTGCACATACTGCTTCAAAGCATGCTCGGCAGTAGCAGTCAGAGGATTCCATGCCCGTGTGGCACTAAAATCGCCGTGGGCAGTGATTGGAGTGGACTTCCTCTCAATTTCATTCTCCGGCTGGTTGTATGTGCAAATTGCTTTCCAGCCCTTCCGATCCTGACATGCATCGCAGGAATTGCACCAGAGGTAAGCCTTGAAGCCGTGTGCATGTGGAGCGCATTGGGACCGGATTCTCAAATTGTGCCCGGGTATGAGAGAACTTGCCCAAGCTTGCTCTTGCTTCAAAAAATCGACTTTGGACAAGGCGCGCTCGCACGGCAGTGTGTACCGCATGGTGTAGAGAGCAGCAACCTCCTCAGCAGAAGGACGACCCCGACGTGCGTCGTTTTCTTCAGCGTTGTCTGCTGGCTCCTCCCCGTGTCTTCCACGTTTTCCTGCGCCATGCATTGGTGGAAGTGGTGAGCGCTCAGGACGTGCAT